AAACCTTCAGATGTTCACAAGACATTAGTCTTTCAGATATTTTCGTGTACTTTTGCAAAAGAAAGGAGGTACACTGTTTTACCTTTAACTATCTGTAACTCATTTCTATCACATTTTTCTCAGTTACTACAAGTCAGAGCTTCGTGATATATAGTACCAAGCTTCATCTGGTAATGCCATATTGTGTGACACATTCAGTTCCTTCAGTAGTAATCTCATCCTGTTTGCTAAAAACTTAAAATCTATAAATATATGAAGCACCTATATTGTATATGAAATTTTTAAAACATTTTCTCAGAAACATAGCTTCTTGATAAAAGTTTGTTATTTTCGTTTCCTTTGTATTTTATTTTTGCTAACAAGTTTGATAAGGAGGAGGCTGTCAGCAATACACAGGACATCTTGTCCAACAGTTTTGCTTTAGGGAGCTACCATTTGATTTTTATGGGTGGGGGGCTAGGATGAAATTTGAAAAAAAGGCAGGACAGGAGTTTTGAGTAAAAAAAAGGCAGGATGAGCAACTTGGCAAAAAAAAAAGGCAGGATGACAATTTATGTAAGAAAAGTCGGGATAAACTAATAAAAAAAAAGGCAGGACCGAATAGAGTGAAAAATAAAAAGGCAGTACAGAGATTACAACTGAAATAAAAATGCAGAACAACATTTTTCATCCTAGCCCCCCCTCCCCTAATATCAAATGGTAGCTCCCTTACTTTGAACTTCTTGCATTTAATGAAAAACTGTGAAAAAAATGAAAATAATACAAATTTTATGTATCTATAGTGCATTTCTGGATTTGCCTTCATCAGGAAACAAAGCCAAGGAAGTATAAGAACCAAACAAGTTGAAGAGCTATATAACCAAAAGGACCTAAAAGTAATAGTCAAATTCATTTAAGGATAACTTTGCCTGAGGGAGTTGAAACCTTTGTTTCTCAATAATTTATAAATTTATAAACGGACAATTTAAGAAAGAAATGTTATAAATCTTGTCATCAGTACTGAAAAAGGCAAAAATAGCCTCTTTTTGTGATCTTGTCCTTAATATTTAGATATGAGCCACAACTTACCAAAACAGATATTTTGCTGCAAGATGTCTCTTTATTAGGATGTTGATATGGGTAAAACATGTTTTGGGTAAGGTTTTGGCTCGTATTTAATTTTGCTCAATTTAGGTGTAAAATTTGTCAATTTGGATCAAATTATGTCAATTTTGACATGTTAATTTAGTCCTTTTGAAAGCACAACTGACATTTCTGCACTGAAGTGCACAGACTCTATCTTCCTATTCATTTATCAATAAAAGAATAGGTTTTTAAAAAAGGAATGAAGAGTTTTACAATTTTTTCATGTCAGGGGCCAAATAATGATTTTGATCATATGAAATTGAGAATGGAAACGGGGAATGTGTCAAAGAGACAACAATCTGACCAAAGAGCAGAAACAGCCCAAGGCCACCAATGGGTCTTCCAACACAGCGAGAAAATCCCACACCTGGAGGCGGGCTTCAGCTGGCCCCTAAACAAAAATGTGTTCTAGTTCAGAGAAAATGGACGTCACACTAAACTCCGAAACATATAAGTGAACTAAAACTAAAAAAACATACAAGACTATCAAAGGCCAGAGGCTCCTGACTTGGGACAGGCGCAAAAATGCGGCGGGGTTAAACATGGTTTATGAGATCTCAACCCTCCCCCTTACCTCTAGCCAATGTACAATATACAAACACACAGCAATACGCACAGTAAAACTCAGTTTAAAAGAAGTCTGACTCCGATGTTAGAATAGGTAACCGAAGAAACTAAGCAAAATGACAATAATCAACATAAATTAACAAAGGACTACAAGCAGTTACTGACATGGCAGCTCCCGACCTTAATTAAACTGATATAAAGATTATGTCTTCATCATATGAAAATCAAGCACAATCCCTCCCGTTAGGGGTTTAGTATCATACCATCATAAAATATACGAGAAGAACATAACCCGTATCTTGGTTTTAGAATAAATGTGTTTTCCAATGCAAAGACCCTATGAGTGAATCACTATTAATTCCAAAAAATGCCATCTTCGTTTGATCAACAATGGGTATACCGTACATGTGTAAACCAATTTTATACCCTGCCTATGATAGAAGGGATGCATTATGTTTTATAGTCTATTTTTTGTCTGTCTCATATCAAGTAAAAGTTTCTGGTAAAGGTAGTTTACCATGAAATTATGATCACATTAAACTATTAAGTACACTTGTCTATTATGATGAGGATGTTTTAAGTTATGACAAATTACAATTTTGACCCCTAGTTAACAGTTCACTAAACATGGACATTGGATAATGATACAAGGCAGGATGTCCTATGGACACATATTCTTTTTCTTGTAAGTAGTCAATTCTATTTAGCATTTTGTATTGAATTATTAGAAGTCCTGGAGGCTTCGTACCTTCTATATAGATGCCTTATTCTACAAAGTTTGGCATATGTCCACTGTCCGTGACTTCATTTTCATGGTTCAGCAACAGCTTGAAACTAGAGGCTCTAAAGAGCCTGTGTCACTCACCTTGGTCTATGTGCATATTCAACAAAGGACACTCCAACATTGTAGACCAGAATAGAAATCATGACAAAAATCTGTTTTGTTGATCTTGTATTGCTGATCATTTAGTCTGTTTAGTTTCTCTCGATCTTCCTTAGTTTTTGCTCAAAACACAAAAGAGGGTAAAAAAAAAATCCTCATTTAAGGGCAATCGACAGTCTACTAACTGTATCGGCCAAAATTTGACCTGTTAGTAGATCTTGCCTTGCTGATCATTTTTGTGATTTAAAGGATCTATCTATCATAATTTTGATCATATAAGGCAAAATGCAAAATAAATGGTAAAAATCGTGAAGATTGTGGCCAAGTTTGGTTAAATTTGGTCCAGTAGTTTCAGAGAAGATTTTTGTGAAAGTTAACGACGCCGGACGACAAGTGATGAGAAAAGCTCACTTGGCCCGAAGCAGGTGAGCCAAAAAATGTATTGTTTTTGTCTTGCCAAGACACCTTATTTGTTTGTGATTAGGTCAGTTTATGGGGAACCACTAGTGGTAGGTCAAATATATTTGGTATGCAGTTGTATTAGCATTGGCTTATCTCATTTCCATGGAGACTATTTGGCCCTGCCTCCTCAGTCACTTTTGCTTACTTTACATGTATTAGTTTGTGATAAGGTCAGTTTAAAGGGAACCACTAGTGGTAGGTCAATGATATTTGGTATGGAGATGTATTAGCCTTGGCACATCTCATTTCGGTGGATATTATTTGGCCCCACCCCCTCAGTCATGGTATATTGCCTTTGAAACTTTTACTTACTTTACATGCATTAGTTTGTGATTGGATCAGTTTAAGGGGAACTACTAGTGGTAGGTCAATAATATTGGTTATGCAGATGCATAAGCATTGGCACATCTCATTTCCATTGAGATCATGTGGCTCGATCCTTAAGTCATGTTCTATTGACTTTGAATGTTTACATGTTAAAGTTTTTGATTAGATCAGTTTAAGATGAACCACTAATGTTAAGTCAATGATAGTATTAGCATTTGCTAGTCTTCTTTTTCATGGAGATTATTTGGCCCCATCCTTTATCAAGGTTCATTGACTTTGAAACTTTTACATTGTTTACAAGTTTAAGTTTGTGTTTAGATTAGTGTTTAGGGAACCACTCATGATAAGTCAATGGTATTTGATATGCAGTTTTATAAGCATTGGCATTTCTCATTTCCATGGAGATAATTTGATCCTGCACATTTAAGTCGTGGTTTATTGACATTGAATGTTTTGCATAATAGAAAAACAAAGGATATGGGGTATCCATCCTAGTTTACATGTATAAAAATTGCCATTAGGATTCAATATTTGCATTATACTATCAAAATTACAAAAAAGCGAGTCATATCTCTGTCAACAGTTTATTTTTGTCATGTGAAATTCACTTAGGTATTATGAGTAAAAGGATATCTATATTTGGTATATGGGATCCTTGCAAGATCTACATGTCCGTCAGACAGGGTTCATCTGACATCGACCTCGACCTCATTTCATTGATCCGTGATCAAGGTTAAGTTTTTGTGGTCAAGTCAATTTCTCGGATACCATAAGCAAAAGGTCAACTTTATTTGGAATATAGAATGATTTAAAAGGTGTACATGTCTGATTGGCAGTATAATCTGACCTTGACCTCATTTTCATGGTTCGTTGGTCAATGTTAAGTTTTTGTGGTTTGGTCTGTGTCTCGGATACTATAAGCAATAGATCAGCTGTATTTGGTGTATGGAATGATTGCAAGGTGTACATGTCTATCTGACCTTGACCTTATTTTCATGGTTAATTGGTCAATGTCTCATGGCTATGTCTGTTTCTTAGATACTATAAGCAATAAGTCAACAATATTTGGTGTGTGGAATGATTGCATGGTGTCGACATGTCTGGCAAGACTCATTCTTATGGTTCATTGGTCAATGTTCATTTTTTGTAATTAGGTCAGATTCTCAGATGATATAAACAATAGGCTCACTATATTGGGTGTAGGGTATGATTGTAACGTGTACATGTCTATCTGGTCTCTGACTGGACCTGACCTTGACCTCATTTTCATGAATAATGTTAAGTTTATGTGATACTGGCAGTAAAATCTTCATATTACAGACTTGCAACACAAGTTAAATCACAATATGTTAAGAAGGCAACACATTTCAGCATTCTAGTATATTAATGAGGTACACTGGTTGACCCAAGGTCAATCGGCATAAATGACGTCATTGAATGATTGCATCTTACTGTGACATAATAACATAGGAAATGAGGGGGAAAATGCTTGTATTTGAAAGTCGTCTATATTTCTATTTCTCCTTCAGTTGTATATACATGCCTCAGATTAATACCCTGAATGCATTTTATATGAGTACCATTACAATTATACCAAGGGTAAGAGTATACCATTCTTTAAAGTAACAAACACATGTTAAAATTCATTAACATTTTATTAAGTGTATAATTTTATACAACCAATGTAACATAAAAATATCTCTTTAACATTAGAATCTCTAGATAATATGAAAAAGTATCATGCACACTCACAAACAAGGTCTCTCATAAAATTAAATAACACTACATACTCTTGTACAATGGTTGTATTTATGCAGATGAAGGTTTAATTAACTAACATATTTTATATGTCTAAACAATGAAGACTAGACTATACAAAAAAAAACACAAAATGTGATGTTTTATTTTGACAAAAACTTTTAAAAATGCACTTTCAGAACATTCAATTCTTGACGCTGGGAAAATAAAGACACTGAACATTGTAACATATAAATACACTAGTATCTGACCTAAGAATAACTCTGTAACAGTGCTATGAAAATTTTTGCATTTGAGCAGAAATAAAATAAAATATCACAGATTTTGTAGAAAATAAAGATTATAAATATCTAATTAACTTAGTACTTCACAAGGTTAGAAATAAATAAACTTATCCTTGGTTCAAAACCATTAAAGCAGGAACATAAAACATTTTTTTAAATATACGCTACCAATGAATAAATTGCTTGACTAAGTTACATTCTTCTCCAATAATGAACACTGTACATCAACTTAAAAAAAGAATATATATATCTCTGTTCAACTCTTGAAAGGTCTGTCCAGCTGAAACTTGCCCCACATAAAGCCATCAATAGGTTTACATCATTCAGTATTTATAAAGTACTGCCAAGGTAAACTTCAGTTGCCACTGGAAATTAATCAAACTGATCAATCAAGTAGATTAATCACTTGACAGAATCTTTACCATTTCAGCCTTTTTCAGTTGTTGAGAATTTTTGTATTGGTAATACATTTGCTGGTATGAAGATGTGATGTCATTTAAAAAAAAACATGAAAAAAGAGGCATTTTAGATGTTTTGATTTTACACAGGAAGGAAATAGGACCTCTTAAATGAAATCATGTATATTATCATATGTACTAACACCCCTCCCCTTTTTCCCCTTGATAAAAATTTTTTCTTTTTGATGTATTGGTTTTACAGGGCAGAAAAAAAAAACAAATTCTGTGTATATTCAATAACTGTTTACAGCTATATCCTAAATCACATTTTCCTGTTCGAAAGTAACATTTTCTAAACAGATCAGATGAACTCTATCTATGCCCTTTCAACTAAGGTGTACCGATTACAACTGAAAACAAAATATTATTGCACACACTCTTACTATTATATATGATTAACAAATGCAAAGCGTGGTATGACATGGAAGCTCTATAAATAAAATTCTTGCTCTATTACACAATAAGCATTTTATTTTGGATATGTTTATCATACACTGTCTTAAACATTTTTATGGAAACCCTGTTAGCTATTGGCAGACATACTGTGTCCATAAAAAAGGAATTACTCCTGCTCTACACAGAAAAAATGTGACATAATTCCATTAGGTTGGCCAGTTGGAATAAAGTGGAATAAATCATTATACAAATACACACAAAAAAGAGAATATCTGCAGGCAAGATAAAAAATTAATGACAGCTTGTATCTCCAAAGAAGGCAAGATCAGATATGGGAATATATATATATATATATATATAATTCGTCTAAATAACAGCCCAATAATGTCAGATCTGTAAATTTGTGTTAGCAAATTTTTTGTTCTTCCCTGGCGGGGATTCGAACTCATGCTACTGAGATATCGTGGCACCAAATCGCCTTGCATTGTGCCCAACGCGCTAGACCACTCGACCACCTAGGCTCTACAATAATAAAGCTTTCGGTGGCCAGGTGTTACCTTTCCTCGTCAGTTTTAATCTGGCGTCGTTACACAGTACATGATATATATAAGGCATGAAGATGTAATTGTTACAGATCAGCTGAATTACCTATTGTAAAGGATCCTACAAATTAATGTAAGATGCAGTCACAGAAATAATTATATTATAAGTACGTCTGAACCAGTGACAACTCTACAACAATTATTTCTGTGACTGCATCTTGCATCAATTTGTAGGATCGAAAGGTCTAGCACGTCCGGCACAGTGCAAGGCGATTTGGTGCCACGATATCTCAGTAGCATGAGTTCCAATCCCGGCCAGGGAAGAACAAAAGATTTGCTAACGCAAATTTACAAATCTAACATTGTTGGGCTGTTATTTAGACGAATTATATATACAGAATGTGTTTTCAGCATTGTATCACCATCATTGGTGATCCGATGGATAAAATCTGTTGTAGAGTCGTCACTGGTTCAGACGTACTTATGTATATATATATATATATCTATGTCTTTTCTTGGGCAATTAATATGATTGGAATATGTATAATAATTTTCAAGCTTCTTTTCATCAAAATAACATACTCATATTCTGTATTTATGCAAATTCTAATTAGTTTTAAAGAAAAAAATTAAAAATGTATACTGAATCAATCCAAACCATCAATTTTTCTTTTGTTTTCATTCTAAGCAAGAGGTTGTATCACTAAAATGGCTCTTCAATTTGAAAAATAATTATTAAAAGAAATTACAAAGATACCAATGGCTAATTTTTGTTTAAACTGGCAAAAATTTTATAAAAGAAAAAAAAAACAAAAGGTATCTGTTCAATATGATCCTGTGTAGACTCAGATTAAATGAGATACTGGGTAGACTTAATAGGTACCATCACATTTCTCAAATATTCATTGAAATATTTTTGGACTAATTCTGATTGTGGATCGTATTGATTGCCTTCCTGCATCATCTTACATAATTTCGAAAGAAAATGACCAAAAGACCATTACTATCTAGTCCCAACAGAACTGATCCCAGCAAAAAGATGTTGTTTTTATTATTTTACCCTTTTTCTTTTTTCAGTGGCAAGGGTTATACTGGTTGGTGAGCAGGGTGATCAAAAACGTTTTTGAAAGGGGACCCTTCATAGTTCAAATGTTTTGGTCTGAATTCAGCTCTTTATGAAGAAAATTTTATATAGATTAAATGGAAGACAATCATTCCTTCGTGAAGAAAACCAAGTTGTCAATAGAATTGATAATTTTGGATTAGATTTTCAGGAACTAAAAAGAATAACCATTTCCTCTTTTTTTATATTTAACAAAAGGGTTATATAAAAATAGAACCAGCACAAAGTATGATAGCTCCCCCTCCCCAAAAAAATTTATTGCTGCTTGCTTAATATTCAATAGCAATTATTTTAAGAATATTCATTACTAGCCCCCTGATAAAAGCATTTCAAATTTATAGTATTTTTGAAATTTTAAATGAGGGCTTTTGACCTAGATCCTATAATGATATACTTATATCTTTTTTTACCGAAACTGGTTTCAACAGGCCCCAAGAAATTCTAAATGGACAGTGCTAATAAAAATTGAAAGCACCTTGTATACAATATTTTGGTAGGAAAAAAATATAACATAATTTGATTTGAATAGACTACAATTATATTTTTATCAATTTAACATTCATATTTTTGAATTTATTTTTATCACTAGTCCATCAAAAATTCAAATTTCAATATAAACTTTTAATTTGGGTTGTTCCATAAAAACATACATGGGACCCAGGGAAGGCACTTTGATATCTCTACTATGGGTGGGTGTCAAGTACAGTGGAAATGTAATTGAAATTCTAAATTTACCTCCATAGGTGGTTACCCCATTGTAAAAATGCCTTCCCTGGGTACTATGTATGTTTTTTATGGAACAGCCCTAAATTAAATTCTTGTAAAGTCATATAGATATTTAATAGTTTTTTAAACTATGCTTTTTAAAGAATAACATGGAAGTCTAAATACTATTGAAAACTGTTACTTTAAATTTAATGACGTGAATTAATGAATAAGATTGTCATTTGAGATAAAAGACCATATTCCTCAAATGTCGTCATTGTTTACAAAAAAAATATTCTTTTTCTAAATTGCACCAATAAACAGAATATGCACTACAATTTCCAGGACATTCATAGAAAGTATGTTTATAAATTACAATTTCACCTACAGATATTAAACTTTGGTGAAGAATCAATCAGGTATTAGGTACATTTCATTGAATATTTTGTATTTTCCAAGTTCACAAGTATCCATCATAGATATCTTTTACAATTCTAGCTGCACACTCTCTTGGCCCCATACTCTTACTGGTTTCACAGTAATTAGATTGCTATTCTTTTTCAAACCGGTATTGTCTATCATGATTCTTCGTCTTCGTCATCTAAATCATCTCCTAGATCATCGTCATCATCATCATCTTCCACCTAAAATTACGGATTTTTTTTTAATTTATTTATTTTTCAACTTAAATTGTTCATTCTTTTTTTATAAATTAAGTCAAAATCCTTGACTTTGCAGTTGTATTATAACTAAATTTACTAAATGATTTAGCATTACTTAAAATAAATCTGTCATAACATTAGAACTTCTCTTTTTGAAAAGAAAAACAATTATTCAAAACACATCCTGCAAGTAAAGGATAATTTACTGTATTTGAAACAAGTTTAAAGATATCTTTAGAAGAACCATAATACTGGTTTTATAAATAATGAAGTGATACCAGTATTAAATCTGGTTACCAATGCTTAATATCATATGCATTAAAATCATTGTCAAGATCACCAAACGACACGAAATTTTTTTCTGTTAATCATACTTATTTTGTCTTACCTGTTGACCTAATTCCTTCAATTTTGTTTTATATTTATCTATTTTGGTATCTTGATCTGCTAAGAGAACTAGTAAATCTTCTTGTTCTTTTTTCAGTGTGTCCAACTCGTCTTCTACTCCTAGCCTATCATTTTCTATTAACTTCTTCTCTTCTTCTAGTTTCTAAAAAAAAAAGTACAAAAATATGAACATTTTGATATTATATAAAGTTAGGACATTTAGATGAATCATCATATGAATCAGCCAATATCATGAATTCTCCACCAAAAAAATTAAAAAAAGACTTATCTAATAAAAAACCTTTTTGAAGTAACAATACTGCTAGAAGAGAAATTATATTTACATGTAGGTTAAATAACTACATACTTTACAGAAGAATATAAGTCAAGGGATATTTAGTGACTCCCTTATTTGATAGAGCATTCTATACAATTTGTTCCTCTGATGACCATATTAAGAGGTAAAAAATAAACAAAAAAACACACTTGTCTTTATTTCAATCTTTTTTTATTTGGCCAACATTCATTTATTTTAATTTCCAAAAATTTTCTCCACAAATATGTTTTTTTCTTCTGAAATTTGACTTTTGGTCAACTTTTTGGAATTTGGCAAAATTGTTTTGTTACATTACTGCTATTTTGAATTTATAGAGACAATAAAAGTTAAATTCATCCATCTAAAAGAAAGTTATCAGTTTGAAATATATATTTTCATGTCTACTCACATTATATTTATCTATTGACTTGAGATTTTCTTCATTAGATTTCTTTATTCTTTCCATCAGTTGTGCTTTTTCCTCTTTTAACTTATTTATTTCCTTTGTTAAACTACTAGTATCCTCTTCTGAATGACTATTTACTACAGCTGTTTGTTTCTGCAAAACAGAAAAACAATTTGAAAGAAAGCAGCTAAAAGAATGACCTAGTGTTCATTACTTTTGTTCTTTTCTTAAAAAAAAACCTGATTGACAACCAGTCTTATACGTTCAGGTATTTCACATCCAATTTTTTATGGAAATATTCTTTATAAAGCACAAAAATGTCAGTATTCACCTCTGAAACTAACAAAACCTTTAAATAGACTTATTAAGAAGGGATATAGTTACGATACTGTTGTCAGGTCATTAAAGATTGCATATTTTGGCGTTGATATTGATTCACTTATAGGGTCTTTGCATCTGCACTAAACACATTTATTTAAAAACCAGTTGTTGGCATGACACGGGTTATGTTCTTCTCATATATGTTATGATGGTATGATACTAAACCCCTAACGGGAAGGATTGTGCCTGATATTCATATGATGAAGACATAATCTTTCAATCAGTTTAATTGAAGTCTGGAGCTGGCATGTCAGTTAACTGCTAGTAGTCTGTTGTTATTTATGTATTATTGTCATTTTGTTTATTTTCTTTGGTTACATCTTCTGACATCAGACTCGGACTTCTCTTGAACTGAATTTTAATGTGCGTATTGTTATGCGTTTACTTTTCTACATTGGCTAGAGGTATAGGGGGAGGGTTGAGATCTCATAAACATGTTTAACCCCGCCGCATTTTTGCGCCTGTCCCAAGTCAGGAGCCTCTAGCCTTTGTTAGTCTTGTATTATTTTTAATTTTAGTTTCTTGTGTACAATTTGGAGTTTAGTATGGCGTTCATTATCACTGAACTAGTATATATATTTGTTTAGGGGCCAGCTGAAGGACGCCTCCGGGTGCGGGAATTTCTCGCTGCATTGAAGACCTGTTGTTGGCCTTCTGCTGTTGTCTGTTCTGTGGTCGGGTTGTTGTCTCTTTGACACATTCCCCATTTCCATTCTCAATTTTATTTCAACTGATCAACTATTAATTCTCACTTCAGAATTGCTTTATATATCATGAAAAATAACATCTGTTGTTTAATATTTCAATTTATGTGAAAATTTTAGAAAATATCTATAAACAACTCAGATAAAATTATGAGAAGGCAATTGAAGTCAAATTTCATACAATGAAAACATAGCAATAATTATTGAAATATTGATGATAGAATTTTGAAAACTTAAAAAAAACCTTAAAGTATGCATTCAAAAGATGTCTTTACTTCAAAGTAAAATGAAACAAAATACAATTCAACATGGTACATTTCAGGTCATAAAGCCATATATTTAGCTTCAAGTAGATTTAAAAGTTTCTCAGATAATTTTTTGTAATTTACATTTCTTGCACTTAATCTAAGTTTCAGTCCAGTAACAGAAGTACTACATCAAAATAGTAAACACAAGCATATAATCTTACCAAATTTTCCACTTGTTTACCAGCTTCATTATATTGCACTTGTAATCGACTAATTTCTGAGTCTTTATTTGTTATAATTTGTCTACATTCTTGTAAATCTATATTAAGTCTATTAACAGTAGCACTTAAAACTGCTGTTTCACTAGGATTATTTTCTTTATTTTCTTCTGTGTCGTTCTGAGTAATGATCTGTGCTTCAGCTCTTGTCAAATCTTCTTTCTGTAAGAGTAAGATTGTATTTTCAAAGTATACCCTTGCATATTTTTGCAGTTTATTTTGTAATTAACAAATCATAAATTTCACAAAAAATAAAATAAGCTTCTGCTATTTTTGTTGAATATATTGTTAACAAACCATAAACTTCCTAAAAATAAAAATAAACTTCTGCATCTGCAAAATCATTAAATGTCCATCTTAGTGTGGAAAACAAATTTCTCCACATTTAATTGTATTCATATATGTTTCAGTTGGTGACATTAAATGTTGTTTTATACTCACTAATCTATTTAAAGCTGAGTCTTTTTCTGTTAAATTTAGTCTAAGATTTTCTAGTTCTTGTTGTAAAGAACATAATTCTTCGTCTTTTTTACCATCTTCAACAGCAGGACTTGGTGCTACAATCACATATATACTACATTTGCAGAAGTACATGGGGAAAAGTGCATCAGAACATACTGATGTATGGTCATAATAATTCCAACTATAATAGTGCAAAAAACATGAAAACAACAAAAAAATAACAGAATTAAAATAAATCAATACCAAACCAATGTAGCATACACAATATAAAACATTCAACTAAAAGATAAATGAACCAATGCATGTACAGCAGTTTTACAAGATATCCAATATAAATGAACCAATGCATGTACAGCAGTTTTACAAGATATCCAATATAAATGAACCAATGCATGTACAGCAGTTTTACAAGATATCCAATGTAAATGAACCTATGCATGTACAGCAGTTTTACAAGATATCCAATGTAAATGAACCAATGCATGTACAGCAGTTTTACAAGATATCCAATGTAAATGAATCAATACATGTACAGTAATTTTACAAGATATCCAATGTAAATGAATCAATACATGTACAGTAATTTTACAAGATAGCCAATATCTTCAAATTCGTGTGATGAGATGTCAATATAATAGATATGCGGTATATGTCAAAAAGACAGCAACCCAAGAATACAAATAAAAAAATTCTTGATGTGAAAGAAATACATGGTTTATTCAAAAGAACAATGGTTCAAGTTAGCATTTTGTTTCCCCATCTTTTTTTTTTAATTGTGTTTGCTAATGTTATATCACAAATGAAATCAACTTTATTTGCACATATTATATTGCAGGTGCCAGGTGTAGAACAAAAAATACTTACTTTTCCAGAGCACCTGAGTTCATCATTAGTTTTTGGTTGAGTTCGTGAAATCTTTGTTTTCTTTTTATTGTTTTGTAGGGTATTATTTGACTGTCCTTTTTCTTTCAGCAGTATTGTCTGATTTTATTTTATGGTTTTAGACAGTCCCCTTTGTATCTTCTTCCTCCTTTTTTTTTAAAATATTATGATTAAGTCCCATCAACTCATTTCACAAAATATCTTACGAGAAAAAATACTTGGAAGTCATGAACATTTCAGTATAACTTACGAGCAAATTTTATCGAAAGATTTTTTTGTGAAAAGAGCCCAAGATCATGTTAAAATTTTGGAAAAAGGTAGTTTACAATGAAGATGTTTTACATATTGACAATAGCCTACCTCACCATTGGATTTTGCTTATTGTTGAAGGCTGTACTGTGACCATTTGTTACTTAAATCTATGTCATTTGGTTTAGCTAAATCTAAGCTAAATGGATGAGACACAAGTAAATTATTCTTATGAAGTCTTTTCCATTTGGTCTCTAGTAGATAGTTGTGTCATTGGCAATCATACCCCAACTCCTTTTATACTGTGGTCACATCAACTTATAACCTTAGTACACATATTTGTTTTGATGTGGACTATTCAAAGTATATGCCAAATTACGATTTTGACCAAGATTTCACAGTTAACTGAACATGGAAATGATCACATTAAAAGTTTTGGTTTAAGGTAGTTGACCACAAAGCTGTGAGAGATCTACTAGAAACTTAATACACGTTCATTATGATGTTTATTTTTTTATTTAAATTGTCAAATAAAGATTTTGGCCATGATGACTGACTGAATAATAAATGACAAGAAAAAATAATGTCCCCTTCTATCACAGGCATGCATATATCTTAGGTGTTCACAGGTGTGCATATATCTTAGGTGAGGCATAAAAACAGAAGTGCATGCTGATAAAATCTTATAATCTAAATTCCTACCTTTTTGAGCTTTTAAAAGTGCATTTTTATCTTTAAGTTGTTGAATTAAATCTTTCATTTCTCCCATTTCTTTTTCTTGATTGGTGTATTTTTGTTGAATAATTTGATAAAGCTGTCTTGTCTCATTTAACTGCTGATCCTGAAAAAAAAGGATTTCAGTATTTAAAATTTGAATGATACCAACATTATTTCCCACAACAGGAATTAATAATACCTGTATATTAATTTTCTTTTGCTTTTTACATCATAACAATCAACTTTTGGAAATTAGGACAATTAATTTCAGAGATGATTATAACAAGAATAATTTTTGTTTCCTTGTCTTCAGCAGTATGATTCATATAATGTTTTGTAAAAAAATGAATGAACAGTGTTTTCACAGAAAATAACATCTAATCAATTATTTGGGTCTTTTTTTCGTACTACTGTGAATTCATTATTATTCGTTGGATACCAATTTTCGTGGATTTCATGGGTACAGGTGAACCATGAATTTAAATAATCAACGAATTACAAATTTTCTATATGGTTGTATACAGATTTTGGCAAAACCACGAAATCAAATATCCTCAAAAATGCAAGTTTTCCTCATTCCACGAAAATTGGTACCCACGAAAATAAATGAATCCACAGTAAACTTGATTTCTGTACAAACATTAATTATTTTGTTCGTAATGATATAGTTGACCTTGTTACAGCAGATTCCATTGAGTGTGTAGCCAAAGGTAATATCTTTGGTTAGCTTGCTTGTTAGCTGAACCGTGAAGTCATTATTAGGTCAGGTATACTACCCTCCTTTCGAAGTAGCATAGTCCAACAGACAGATCAATTGGTTTTCTGTCGGACTAGTCTATTCTTAAAGTAGGATAGTTTACCTAACCTAACAATGACTTCACGGTTCAGCTAACAAGCAAGCTAACCAAAGATATTACCTTTGGCTACACACTCAATGGAATCTGCTGTAAAGGTTAAAGTACATTACCTGTTCCTGTATTAAATCTTTGTATTGATTAACAACTTTTTCATGTTCCTGCATGCTTGCCATTTTCTTCTTATTTTCTTCCATGAAAGCTGCTGATGACACTGCTTTCAACACATCAGCTGTAAAGAAATATATCATAATTTATAATTTCATAATGTTGACAAAATCAATAAAATGCTCCGCAGGGCGCAGCTTGATACGACCGCAGAGGTCGAACCCTGAACAGTTGGGGCAAGTATGGACACAACATTCAAGCTTGATACAGCTCTGAATTTGGATTGTGATTAAATATTTGACACAGCATAGGTTTCTGACACAGAATGAATGTGGTCTAAGAACTTTTAAATTGGACATTCACCTATTATGGTCCAATATCCAAAATCTAAATACATGGTTAGATTCAGCATATCAAAGAACCCCAAGAATTCAATTTTTGATGAAATCAAACAAAGTTTAATTTTGGACCCCGATTTGGACCAACTTGAAAACTCGGCCCATAATCAAAAATCTAAATACATGTTTAGATTCAGCATATCAAAGAACCCTAAAAATTCAATTTTTGTTAAAATCAAACTAAGTTTAATTTTGGACCCTTTGGACCTTAATGTAGACCAATTTGAAAACGGAACCAAAAATTAAGAATCTAAATACACGGTTAGATTCGGCATATCAAAGAACCCCAATAATTCAATTTTTGATGAAATCAAACAAAGTTAAATTTTGGACCCTTTGGACCTCAATGTGGACCAATTTAAAAACGGGGCCCAAAATCCAAAAACTTAATACACGGTTAGATTCAGCATATTAAAGAACCCCAAGAATTCAAGAATAAAACCCCATTGAAATTGATCAAGAAATAAGCAATTTATACGAAGTATCTTCTTTTGCACAATACTGTGCAATTGAATATTTCTTGCTATTGCGCAATACTGTACAATTGACAATTTCTTGCTATTGCGCAATATTGTGCTATTGGATATTTCTTGCTATTGCGCAATACTGTGCAATTGAAGATTTCTTGCTATTGCGCAATACTGTGCAATTGAAGATTTCTTGCTATTGTGCAATACTGTGCAATTGAAAATTTCTTGCTATTGCACAATACTTATTAGATAATAATTTACACATCCTGTTTGGTGTGTATCTCCTACCATATCATTATTATTTGCTTTTAAATATTAATCAGAAATAATCAACTTAAAATGGAAAATTTTAAAAGAAAAAAAAAAGGAAAAAAAGAAAAAAAAATAAAAAAAAAAAATCCCCCCCAAATTTTTTGAACCCCCTTATGATTCATCACCCCCAAACTCAATCCCAGCCTTCCCTTTGTGGTATGGTACCTTGCAGTACAATTTCAGAGAGATCCATACACTTGAACACAAGTTATTGTCTGGAAACTAGAAAAATGCTTATTTTTGGCCCCTTTTTGGCCCCCAATTCCTAAACGTTTCGGGCAATTACCCCCAAACTCAATTCCAGCTTTCCCTTTGTGATATGGAACCTTGTAGTACAATTTCAGAAATATCCAAACACTTACACACAAGTTATTGTCATGAAACTAGAAAAATGCTTGTTTTTTGCCCCTTTTTTGGCCCCTAATTCCTAAAATTTTGAGGCAATTACCCCCAAAATCAATTACAGCCTTTCCTTTGTGATATGGAACCTTTATAATGATGATCAAAATGAAACCTTTAGTGGTATTGAACCTTATGGTAAAATTTCATGGAGATCCATTCACTTAAACTAAAGTTAGAGTGCGAAAACCAATGTGTCTTCGGACGACGACGACGCCAACGTCATATTAATATACGACCAAAAAATTTTTAATTTTTGCGGTCGTATAAAAATAAGGTTTTTCGTAAACATTTGGCAAATGTTGCCATTTTTACACCTCAAAATTTTATTAGGCAATTAGTTTTCTTCTTTGAATTGTTCTTCATTTGTCATTTTGGGGCTTTTCTAGCTGACAATGCGGTATGGGTTTTGCTCATTGTTGAAGGCCGTACAGTGATCTATAGTTGTCAACTTCTATGTCATTTGGTCTCTGATGGAGAGTTGTCTCATTGGCAATCATACCACATCTTCCTATTTTTATATTTAGATTAAAATCTTTGAGATGTTTCCCTAAGGTAGTAATTGTAAAGCATTGTACTGATTGATGTGGACAATTGATAATAATTATCTCCACAACAATAGGTGATTTAAATAAAGTTTCAAAGTTGATCTTTTGTGAATTTGGCTATTCTCTTTTTAGGTCATTTTTAGTCATATAGCATAAGTATTCAAGTTTTAATACATTTTTGACTTTCAAGCATTACTAATGAAGGTAAATCCAGAGAAGCACTTTGGATGCACCAAAATTCACGAATTGTTATTTCTTTCTTTAAAGAGTGTAACTGAGTGAAACAAAAACAAAAAAAATTCAATTTTTTGTTTATTTATAAATGAGCTTCAAATGGTTTTAAGTTAATATAGTATGTTTGGGATAATTTAAGACAAAAAATAAATGCCCAAATTTAGAAAAAAAAAATGTACTTACATTCCAAGGATTTAAATATACTAGTAAATTCATAATCAAATATAATGTCGCTGGCTTGTTTACTATTAAGGTGTGGTTTCTTAGCTGCTTTTGTGTAGCTTTCAAATTTTGGTATTTGTGTTAATTTGTCTGTGAATGTTTCTAATCCTATTCTTCTTTCTATAATCTGTCGTAATGAGGCTCTGAAAAAATAAAAAGACAATGTAGAATGGTAATATATACTGCTTGAAAAGATTTTTTTTACAAACAACTCTTTTGCAATAAAGATCAATAAATTTTTTGTTTCATTTGTTTTATAACAAACAAATCTTTTGCAATAATCATCAATACATTTTTTTTTTTTTTCGTTTGTTATAACAAACAACTCTTTTGCAATAAATATCAATACTTTTTTGTTTTATTTGTTATAGATCAACAGTATATCTATCAATTAATTTACTGCTATGAAATTATATCTATGTATAAAATGTCATTAAACAAACAGTCAAATCTCTTTGACAATTCAGATTTGTAGTTGTCTTTTCGATAACAGAAACTTGTATCCTAATGCAATGTGATATGTGACACCATTTTTTTATTTGAAGATGTCTACTGTATATTCCACGGTTAACTGTCAATCATTGGCAACACCATGCTTATTTTGAACATTTTACTGGTATTGTATAGGAATGACAATACTTTGTTAACAGAGTAAGCACCATCATTTTGGGGATTTGACTCATACCTGCCAACTTTCCAAAATCTCCATGGGGGATTTTAAGCGCAAGAGGACCTAATGCTCCTCTTATATTGTCATAAGTGTTTTTAATCTACTACTATATTGTTTGAATGAGTATGTATGAGCTTAAATACCCTTTTAACTCATTTGAATGCCTGTTTTGAGGTGTTCAGTTTACATAATAAAGAATTTCAAAATTTAGGTCAACACCTCTCATGGGGGATATCCCCCATAAATCGGGATAGTTGGCAGGTCTGTTAAGTTTATATATCTGTTTTATGGACTCGGCTTTATGTTGCTTGAAAAACTGCAGTTGGGACCATTAACTCACCAATTGTGAAAGCTATGTTAGAATGATAACCTTAATGCACATTTGTGCATAGTGATACATCATTCTATTTGGTATAACACCCGTGCAAAGGTTGAACACCCACAAAGAATGACAACTGATTAAAGGTGTAATCTTATATGTTAAAAAAATGTCCCCAAAGAAAATGTATTGCCTTGATATATATTCAGTTTTTATGCACTGTATAATTTTACACTGAAACTTAACAACAATGTGACCAGAAGACATTTGACCATGATACTTAACCAAATTTCCCACAATAGACCAATTCTGAGTTGCTTTTTATGAATGAGATACACCAGTAGGTCAATAAGCATAAATGAGGTCTTTTAACAATCAGTTCTTACTGTGAGAATTGTGAAAGTTTCCTATGGAACAGTTTGAAGCCTTTCAACTGAAATTCCCAAATTGTTTGATAGCTTTACTCACCTACTAAAGGTTTCATTTTGATCATCATTATAAAGACAACATATACCCAGCAGGAATGCACATAAACCTTGGACTAACAATTCATGTTCATCACTGTCAGATGCTGATACTTGGGTTATAAGCTAATATCATCAGTTAAGGTTTCAAATTATATTCATGAAAAACTAACAAAGCTAACAAATAGTGTATGCCATTTCAATAACAAAGCATTTCACTCAGGTAGAATTCTCATGCTATCATTTCTAATTATTTCTATGTCAATCCTTCAAGGAAAAAATAACCATAGTTTTTTCATGAAACAATAATTATATAAATGTTAATTGCAATCAACAAATTGCCAGTATTTATACAGAAGTTTTCATTTTATATTAGGAAATGCTTCCTTAAACAGATCTTTCTTGCACTTTTGATTTTTTTATTGCAAATTTTCTCTGTTTCTTTTATTATCATTCCTTTGATCAAGGTTCGAAATTTACGAAACAATATTTTAACCACATGTGAATAAGCTCATTTTAAGTCAGGAATCTGTTAAGTGTGTACACAGTGTGTCACTCTTTGAATGATACAATAATTTAAAAGGATACAAATGGTACATTGGCTGTACTGGCAAGAAAATGTGCTACTGTTACAGTACTATCAGCTAACCAGGCACTTAATAACATCAGTAAACCTACACGAGTCTGCATCTTACCTCCCTGAAAAAAAAACAAGTACATTTTCCAGATAACATAAATAATCATGAAAACACAATGTTTGTTATAAATGTTCAATCTATACTTCGGGTGTTGTGCTATGTGCTTTTTTTTCCTTCTTTGCCTCTGAAGTTTCAACAAATGAAATAGTAAACAACAGTTGTACAAGTAGGAGATTTGGAGTCATAAAATCAGCTTTTAAAGTTGAACACCAGGTACCTTTAAAAAGTGCATGTGGTAAGTCAGGAATACAACATGCTTTGTCTAGCTTAGCATATTCCACTTGCAATTCAAAGTTTAAAAAAACAATAGGCAATTTCTGCCAAATCCCCAAAATCACTCACAGATTACTAATTAATCACTGTTTAGCTGCAGACCTGATATGAAGTCATTCTGTTCAGTAGTACTGGAGAAATGTTTAAAGAAATTATTTGGATTTGACAGTTCTAATATTTGCTTTACTGGCTCAGCTTCATATTGCCTGTAAAACTGCATTTTGGACCATCAAGTCACCAGTTGTGATTGCTTTATTGTTAGAATGATGAACTTAATGCATTCATGCATATGAATACATCATTCTATTTGGTATAACACCCGTGCAAAGGTTGAACACCCACAAAGAATGACAACTGATTAAAGGTGTAATCTTACAAGTTGGAATTAATAATTTAAAAATTTGAAGTTAATTCAACATATTAAAAAATTTCAGGTATAGACAAACATGATATAGGTATCTAACCGATCCCAAAAGTGCTGGCATTTTACAACTAATTATTGTGTAGAAGACAACCAAATATGAGGTCATTCTGTTCAGTAGTACCCTAGAAAAGTATGACCAATATAGTTGTTGTAATAACAGATAGACAAGGTGATGGCAATCAAGTCCCAACTCCTACAGTGGGGCTTTAAACAATGAACCTCAATTAACAATAACAATTTACACCAAATATTTCTTTATTTTCAGCAGCTATGACTGACAAATTCAAATTAAAATCAATAGGTTTCTACCCCTATATCTTCTATCCATATCAGTTTCATTTTAAACAAACAAAGGAAACTTCAGTCATCATCCATAAATCATAATTTTTTTCTACAAACTATTAAAAACTAGAGGCTCTAAAGAGCCTGTGTCGCTCACCTTGGTCTATGTGCATATTAAGCAAAGGACACAGATGGATTCATGACAAAATTGTGTTTTGGTGATGGTGATGTGTTTGTAGATCTTACTTTACTGAACATTCTTGCTGCTTACAATTATCTTTATCTATAATGAACTTGGCCCAGTAGTTACAGTGGAAAATATTTTGTAAAAATTTACAAAAATTTACAAAATTTATGAAAATTTTTAAAAATTGACTATAAAGGGGCAATAACTCCTTAAGGGGTCAATTGACAATTTTGGTCATGTTGACTTATTTGTAGATCTTACTTAGCTGTACATTATTGCTGTTTACAGTTTATCTCTATCTATAATAATATTCAAGATAACCAAAAGCTGCAAAATTTTCTTAAAATTACCAATTCAGGGGCAGCAACCCAACAACGTGTTGCCTGATTGGTCTGAAAATTTCAGGGCAGATAGATCTTGACCTAATGAACAATTTTATCCTCGTCAGATTTGCTCTAAATGCTTTGGTTTCAGAGATATGAGCCAAAAACTGCATTTTACCCTATGTACTATTTTTTAACCATGTCGGCCATCTTGGTTCGCGGGCGGGGTAATCGGACACATTTTTTAAACTAGATACCCTAATGATGATTGTGGACAAGTTTGGTTAAATTTTTCTTAGTAGTTTCAGAGGAGAAGATTTTTGTAAAAGATTACAAAAATTTACGAAAAATGGTTAAAAATTGACTATAAAGGGCAATAACTCCTTAAGGGGTCAACTGACCATTTTGGTCATGTTGACTTATTTGTAGATCTTACTTTGCTTAACATTATTGCTGTTTACAGTTTATTTCTATCTATAATAATATTCAAGATAATAACCAAAAACGGCAAAATTTCCTTAAAATAACTAATTCAGGGGCAGCAACCCAACAACAGGTTGTCTGATTCATCTGAAAATTTCAGGGCAGATAGATCTTGACCTGATTAACAATTTTATCCTCGTCAGATTTGCTCTAAATGCTTTGGTTTCAGAGATATAAGCCAAAATCTACATTTTACCCCTATGTTCTATTTTTAGCCATGGCGGCCATCTTGGTTGGTTGGCCGGGTCATCAGACACATTTTTTAAACTAGATACCCTAATGATGATTGTGGACAAGTTTGGTTAAATTTTTCCTAGTAGTTTCAGAGGAGAAGATTTTTGTAAAAGTTAACAGACGACGACGACGGACACAAAGTGATGAGAAAAGCTCACTTGGCTCTTTGGGCCAGGTGAGCTAAAAAAAAATTAACAAGTGACCTTGAACATTTTCAAAATCAAGGACTGACTGACAGTCAAAACTCTAAAAGTCTCACTTAAAGGTTTTAGCAGGAAGCACCATTTCTGTTTTAAATCAGAACTTATTATTAAAAAACATATACTGTGTAGCTATTTTTTAAAAAGCAAACTATATGAAGAATACTGATAATTCATGTTGCATAATAAGTGACAATGTCCATCATACACTAACCATCAGAAATAAAGTACTGGAAAACAAGTTTTGAGTTTAATGATTTATAAATGTTTGCAGTATAATACATGGTATAGACACTTCTAAGCCTTACCACACCTGTTGACTGCATTTTTAATCTAGGTCTTCAATGTGTTTATCTTCTGCTGGAAACATCTACTGGAACAAAGATCTACAACAATGTAGTCTTGACACACACTAAAGACCACAGTTGGCTATATAGTACAAGAAAAAAAAATAGAAACACATCATCACTGGCAAGCTGCTTGCTAAATAAGAAGTCATTCTGTTCAATATTTCCTGTGAAAATTGTTAAAAAATATTTGTTGGGAGAACGGACAAACAAGGTGAAAGCAATGTAGCCTCAATTCCTGCTTTGTTCTAGACCACCACAAAAGGTCAGATTTGCAACATCCTAGATCATAAGATAACAATCTGCAGGAAGACATACCACCTAACCATAAGATAACAATCTGCAGGAAGACATACCACCCTACTTAGACACATCATGCCTACCAGTCTTTGCTCTTACTCCTAAACATTACATGCTTTGTGGACTTATAATGCTTGTGAGCCTAGACCCTCCCCCTAACCAGTGATATTGGTGTAACAGCACATCATAAGAACAAACTAAAAATTTGGAGGCAAGCTTGCAAGATTTAGACCACCAAGACATTTTACTTGTATGTGAAATACCTGCGCTAAAATATTACAACATTGTTGTAACAATGATATTGGTGGATTCCCTATACTAGTAGCCAACTGGACTCGTAATAACTGTTCCTTTTGTGTTGGATTATCTTCTATAGCATGGAGTAAAGCTACAGCTGCAAACCAATTGGAAAGGGAATCAGCACTGAACAATCCTCCACACAACAATTGACCAGCAGTTATTGTGTTTACTGAAAGAAAAAAAATATCACCATCGCTGAATTAACTGCTATAGGTAAACATTCTAAGGTTAAGACATTGGGCAATAAATATTTTTTGTTAAGTAAGGTTTTCTTTTTTTTGGTAAGGTTAAAAAAGACAATAAATTTCAAGGATGGTAAAGTATATCAAAAGGACAACAAGAAAGAATCTCAATATTCTCAGATTAATTTATACTTTTATGATTGACCTGATAAAATAAAAGACAGTTTAAACAATTAGAAAGACTAATCTGATCTGACATATAAATTCTACCACTGCATCTAGAGATATACAGTTTTTTTCTACTTGACATTAGTGGAGATGTGTAACATCTAAGGTGAAAAGTGATAACATGTCCCTCTTAATTATTCTTCACTATATAGTCATTAACTTGTGTCCCAGGAAAAAAAGAACCTTATTGTGATATCAGCAGGTATGGTCATCTTTCTCTATGCAGTAACTAATGGAAAATTAGGAAACCAAGATGGAATTTTATGTCATTGTTAAAATTTCAGCTGAAGAATGCACTTAAACAAATAAGACACATTGTTTATTAAACAATAGCTTGTCTAGAAACAGAGGTTGACATATGGTATACAAAATTGTATTTTGTTTTAAGCTATATATTGACCTTTATTTTGGTTGGTTTTTTTTTGGTTTAATTGATGCACTCCCGATATTTCCTTTTATTGATAAAAGGTTTTTTATGTATAATTTAAAGAGGACTTAGACAGAATGACATAGAGCATTTAACTGAGTGAAACTATAAGGTAAAGTTTAAATACATTTAATATCAAATAGTATAAGATATCTAAACATTTATCTGAGGCACATACATTTATTTGTGTACAAATATCATGAAATAATTGATGTAAATAATAAAACTACAAACCATCAGATGATGTAGGAAGTAGTGTCTGTATGATCTGTGATTGACCAACTTCATTCTTATACAAGAAAGATTGGAAACAATATAAAACAGAACATCTCAAGGTAAACGGTTGTTTCTCATTAACCATGGACATCAGTAAAACTACTATTGCTGGTCTGAAATTAAAAACAAAATATCATGGCATCAAACTTCATCTTTAATTATCTATCAGCAATTTTAATATTGCACAAATATTTTATAAGCATAATTCTTCTCCATTTAGAATTTTTCCAGATTTCGGACATTTTCTGAAAACTTTAACTATGATAATTCTTACCTTGGTGGTGTTGATGGTGCTAAAACTGAAGCAAAATATTCCTGGTTCTGTAAATTTCCTCTTATTACTTCTGACACAGTATTTATTGTCTAAAATAGAAAAATAAAACATTGTGTTCTGTAAAGATAAATAATCACAAGATAAATTAATATATCATCAGCAATGAATATAAATATATGCCAGCTAAGATTTTACTCGTTCACAGAATATTTCTCTGTGTTGTCAACACTTACACAAATATACTAAAGGCTGACAATTTGGTAAGTAATGATAACTGTAAATTCTTTGTTGCATAATCTTTTAGTCTAATATCACACTAATAAATTGTGTTAACTTTTTAGGAATGTTGTAATTTTCAATGACATTAGTTCGTGTGTTTTAATTGTATAAATTTTACTGGCATCAAGTCTTATGAAATAAAAAATGTCTTTGCATAAACTGTTTGCCAGATGATGGAAACTGTCTAGATAGTGGTAGAGGTTTAACTGCAAGTACCTCTGTAAGTACATCTGCTGGAACTCCACTTGCCATAAGAATTGTACATAATTTCATTAATAAACCTGAAATGCAAAAAAACATGTTAAACCTATCTGTTTCACAAGTATATTTTTCATTCAATATCACAATTGTTTTTTATTTGTAAGGAAATTTGCAATCAGGCTTTGGAGTCTGTAAAATCTATTGAATACCTAATAAATAATATTTTGAATGACTTAAAATATATAGTTTTTAATTTTCATACTTGAGAAAACTTATTCAAAGTTTTGATGTATAGAAATATGTGTATATTTGTGTAATATAAAATATTTACCACACTGAAACATAACTCTTTGACAGGCTGCTGTTTGCTGCTGAGGATTGTTTGGTGAGACTAGGTTTCTGACTAGCTGTAAATGAAGAAATTCTCATCATTAGTCTGAGTTTTCAATAATATTCACCAGTATAATCCTCTGAATAGTATGAACTTATTAAAAAAGCATAATCTATTCCTAAATTTTAAATTGAGAATGAGCGACAAAGGATAAAATGAAGACTTTTAAAAAGATTGAATTTAGATGTTTCGGTAAAAAATTTAGGAAATAAAGTTTGTTACCTACAACATGTACAACATGTTTTAACAATTAACGTAAGTTTTTGTTAGTGCTGATAGCATATCTTTGATATCTTCTGTTCAGTTTATTCACAACTTTTTTTTAAAAGACTGAGATCATTTAGAGCTTGACATACTCTACAGACACCTGTCTTTTGTTTTAGACCCTGTATGTTGACCTCTAGATGAGGGGGTGGACAGGGGGGGGGGGGGGGGTACCCTTCTCCCACCTCCTGCTCCTATCTCCCACCTCCCACTTTTAGAATCTTTTTTCTCTTCCACCTATTTTTTGTCTCCCACCTCCCTCAAATGCTGTCCACCCCCTCCTAGATGTTTAAGTAATTTTTATTGTTGTTATGTTGACAAAATGGCACATTCATCAAATCCCTTTTTTGCATATTCTTCAGATACACTTAAACTAAAAAAAAAAATCACTACTAGATATATGAAACATTGTAAACTTACCCCTAGCATAAGATGTATATTGGTAACTTTCTGTGCTGACCATCCTGCTTGAGATCTCTGAGCCTCAGAATCCATATCAAAGAATGGTGTCAATCTCTGTATAAAACTACTCTCCCTGAAGAAATTCTGATTAGATATGTTACCCTTTAGTAAGTTGGTCAACAATAACAAACAATCCTCTACAATTATACCTAAAATAAACAATTAATTCATTCTGAGAAATATTTTAAACTTTTCATGTCATTAAGTTTGTTGATATTTCTAGTGTTCTTAAGTTCAGATGGTTTAAGTCAAAAGCAGCGTAATTTTTCAGTAGGCTTAACAGGTGCTTGACAACTTAAATCTTAAAAAAAAGAAGCTTACCATCATAGTTATCATGAGTGTACTCTGATGTATTTCGTTGTATTGAAGAAAAAATACATATCCAAAGCTGTAAAGGATGATAGTGCTGTAGCATCATTATTACAAAGATAAGTATGATCACATGAAGAATAAATGACTTTACCTCCATCACTGTTTCCTTCTTCATCAACAATACTAAACAATCTTTCAAAAGCATTCTCAAAAGCTACTATCTTCTGTATATTTCCATTGTTCCTGGTTAACTGGATTAGTAGTAATAAGGCCTGTAGAAGAAAGATACTATCTATATGTAGATATTTTTACCCTTTCTTTTTGTTGTAATTTCACTGCATTATCTTTCCTGCAGTATTCAAATTAACATTAAATTTGTACTATATATCAATAGTTTTGCATTCTAAAAACACATGCAAGAAGGATATCTTCATGTTTTTAATGTGAATGCGAAATAAGCAAAAATAATAGCTGCATGAAAATTTCCATGTTTACAGTATTATTATATAGTGATGTGTTCATGTCTATAAAAGTATATATTCTTTGTTATTTTAATAGTTAAAGACATTTTAAGATATTCTAGGTTGACTTGACAAAACAACCATTAATGCCTTTCCAAAACTTAAAATGGATTTGACTGTAATTTAGTACTGCCAAAACAATATGCATCTATGAAACTCTTTTCTTATCATGCATAAAACACCAATGAATTAATTTGGAATTTTGTAAAAGTCTTTTACAATTAAATTTGGACTATACAAAAGTAGTTTAGTTATGAAATTTGCTTGTCTAAATGATATACATGTAACACATTTTCTCCTTATTTTTATGCTCATTCATTTAACTTAATGTCAATAAAAATATACATATACTGTAAATTCAGAAATTATTGCGATATTTTAATTATTGCGAAAAATGCAACAGGGTTATAATCACAATAATCTAAACTCGCATTTTAAATTTTTTTATATGAATTAAACAGGATTTTTCTCAATATTGCAAAAATTAAAATCGCATTTTAGTCTAAAATGACAAAATCGCAATAATTTCTGAATTTACAGTATATAACTGTAAAAAATTACGAGATTTGATAGAACCCCTAAAACTTACATCATTTCTAATAATTTCTCTACTATCTGATAACAGATCCATCAGTTTAGATACACCCATAGGACTAACTAGGATACATTCTTGTAGTTCTTTACATCTGTTTGTTAGTAACGTCGTAAGTAGTTTAACAGTTGGCCATCTCACATGGAAATCATATTCCTGGAAATATAATGAGTTTACACAACAAAGAAGACTTTGACTACCCATGAGGGTCTCCCACGAAAATAGATTGTTTACAAAACCCTCCAGCTATTAAAAAGTACTGAATGTATGCATAAATTTTCGCGATTTTCATTTATCCTCTAAAGTAAGCGAAGATAACCACCCCTAAAAAATAACCCGCTATACGGTATATTTGGATGCATACATCACACATCTAATGAATTGACTTACCTCTAGCATAGATAATAGTAGAGATATATTACTGGGAGTCTTTGTAAATATTTCTGTGAACTGAAGACCAAGATCAGTTTGTACTTGAATTGGTGTCTCGTCATCTGGACAAAAAACAAAAATACAACCCATTAAAGGATCAGTGTTCAAATTACATTAATCCCACCGACAGGAAATTCAATAGATAAAAGGAAATCACACAACAACATAATTTCTCTCCATGTCTTGCACCCACTGATATTTAATAGGAAAAGAAAAAAGTTTGACAGAAAATGATTTGTGTATTCCATGCATGATATGAACATTTTCTTTCTCTAATTCCTTCTTCAGTAAAAATAAGTTCTGACAAGTCGGATGAATTTTTGCTAAACCAGCACACATTGATTAACTTGTCATATGATTTTCTGCAAAATCTAATTGGATTATCAGACTTCTGACTTCTTTATTTTACATCATGTATCCTTATAGAAACAGATTTTAACCACTTTACTCCATTTATCCACTCTCTGTAGTTAAATATTACAATTAAACAAGAGTGCACACGCTGAAATGTCTCGCCTTCTTTACTAATCATTGATATTATGTTGATAGTCCTAAATATAAAGCTTTATTACAACTGTCACATAAACTTAACATTAACCAAGTAAACTAAACATTGACCAATGAACCATGAAAATGAGGTCAAGGTCAGATGAACAATGCTAGGCAGGCATGTACAGCTAACAATTCTTCCATACAACAAATATAGTTGACCTATTGCTTATAGTTTAAGAAAAACAGACGAAAACACAAAAACTTAACACTGAGCAATGAACCTTGAAAATGAGGTCAAGGTCAAATAAAACCTGCGTGACTGACATATAGATCATAAAATATTTCCATACACCAAATATAGTTGAACTATTGCATATAGTATTAGAAAAAAAGACCAAAACTCAAAAACTTAACTTTGACCACTGAACCATGAAAATGAGGTCAAGGTAAGATGACACCTGCCAGCTAGACATGTACACCTTACAATCATTCCATACACCAAATATAGCTGACCTATTGCATGCAGTATTAGAAAGAAAGACCAAAACTCAAAAACTTAACTTTGACCACTGAACCATGAAAATGAGGTCAAGGTCAGATGACACCTGCCAGCTAGACATGTACACCTTACAATCATTCCATACACCAAATATAGTAGACCTATTGCATACAGTATAAGAAAAACAGACCAAAACACAAAAACTTAACTATAACCACTGAACCATGAAAATGAGGTCAAGGTCAGATGACACCTGCCAGTTGGACATGTACACCTTACAGTCCTTCCATACACCGAATATACTAGACCTATTGCTTATAGTATCTGAGATATGGACTTGACCACGAAAACTTAACCTTGTTCACTGATCCATGAAATGAGGTCGAGGTCAAGTGAAAACTGTCTGACGGGCATGAGGACCTTGCAAGGTACGCACATACCAAATACAGTTATCCTATTACTTATAATAAGAGAGAATTTAACATTACAAAAAATCTGAACTTTTTTTTTCAAGTAGTCACTGAACCATGAAAATGAGGTCAAGGACATTGGACATGTGACTGACGGAAACTTCGTAACATGAGGCATCCATATACAAAGTATGAAGCATCCAGGTCTTCCATCTTCTAAAATATAAAGCTTTTAAGAAGTTAGCTAACGCTGCCGCCGCCGCCGCCGCCGCCGTAGCCGCCGGATCGCTATCCCTATGTCAAGCTTTCTGCGACAAAAGTCGCAGGCTCGACAAAAAATGACTATCTAATATTTCTTCTTAAAAATTTGAATATTGCAAGAATATACATATCAAAATTAAAAGGGGAATTGTGGCAGAATCTACATACATATATATATATATATATATATATATATATATATATATATCTCATATTTCAAATTTATTACTGGAAAATCTTATTTTATGTGATTGCTCAATGGATGGAAATTACTCATTGATAATCTGAATGGAAGTTTTTATACATGCAATACTCAACATATAACACCAATTCCTTTCATATTCAATTAAGAAAAGTTATATCAAAACATATTTAATCATAATATGGATTACCTTCTTCTGATGGTTCATTGGACATGATGTTACATAAGGCATCTAAGGCATAACCTGTAATCTCTGCATCACTTCTACAATCAATTAAATACAGTATACTCAATTATAGAACAGAATAAATAGTTATTATTCCAATGAAGGGTCCTTGATGGTCAACATTCCTATAAACAAAATTGCAAGCAAGCTTATTTTACTTTTGCTGAACATACTTTGATACTAGAGCTGTAAGCATGAGTGTCTAAAAGATGTTGTCCTAGATCTTTAAGCTTCACAATATTTTTGAAGATATAATACAAATGCTCTTGTATGTCTCATAAATTTTGCAACATACACTTAGTTATACAAACCTGTCAGCTTCCAGTGTTTTTATGAGTATTTCCATTGCTTGTGTACCAACCTCCAGTCGAAATTTCTATAAAAAATTTAAATCTCGTTTAAAGTCAATAAATATTGCACATTGTTCCTAGAAGATAAAATTCTTGTACATTTGTTTACGATTATTTTCCCATTATCAGAATTATCCACATAATAAAAGAAACCAGAATGTATCAAAAAGGAAAAGTAAAATATGGTCAGAGATAAACATTGGAATTCTGGAGCACAACTATATTGGTATATACATGTATTCATGTTTTACTTTTTAAATCCATTATTAGGGACAGGCTTATCGAGGGAAAAAATCTTTTAACTTTTTTTTTTTAATTCCAAAATCAGAAAAATTCAGATCAGCATCAACTTAAATGAACAAATAATAATAATGGGCAAAATTCCACTCAAACCAGTGCTAAGGGCCGTCTAATTATAGCAGTGAGGTTAGACTTTTATTTTTTTGCTCAATATTGACTGTAACTTTGTTCTTTGTAACTTTGAGATGAACAGCAATAAAAGTGATTGTTCCTTTGCTTTTTGTGTGTTTTTTGCTGTGCATATACTGATTTTGTGTCATGGATGAATACCCCATATGCTTTTTTTCTCTTAATGAATATATTTCTCTTGAAGATAAAAAGATTAAGACAACAGACTCAATTTGAAGGGGTTTATTGCTGGAATTGTTTCTTGTGGATTATTATTAAAAATAAATAAATCCTTTTCCACTCTTGTTACCTTAGACATTGCTTTAAGTGCTCTGACTGCATCTCTTCTATCATCCAGTAATGTTGAAGATTGAACCCTGTCCACCAATCTTTCAACCTAAAATCAATGTATTTCTGATTCATCAAAGTGCATATATAGGAATATACAAAATAGTTTTGTGGTTAATGTGGGTACTAATGGCTATGAAGTTTAGATCTATGCAGTGTTCTCCCCAGGCCCTTAAGGACCACGCACATGTGGTTGTATAATTTTGGAGCATGGTTCTATCGGTCTTAGCAGGTTGTTATAATTCTGGTCTGTGGTGCTAATATTTTCAGTGAAAAAATCGTAAATAGGCAAAATTTTAGACAACTTGTTAAATCTTTTCTGTGCAGTATAAAACTCCAGGTGAAATTTAACCAATACATTGATTGTTTACACCACATGATCAATTTACTTTATGAGGTTAATCTGTTCTTGATTGGATTTAATCAATGTAATTAACACTTGTAACAGGATTCTTTTGTGTTTTGATTGATTACCAGGTAAGAGATCATTTGTGATCACAGATAACAATCCTATGACTTCACTCCCCACCCAAGCGCTGACCTGTGACAAGTCGGCAAATACTTTGTACACAAACAGTGCCAATATATAAAGCACATGGTACAAGCTATCCTTGTCATAAATATACGATTTGGAAGATGGTGAATCAAAGTTCATGATGTCAGAACCAAATGCAAAACGTTGTAAGATAGTTGGTACCAGCCATACTCGTTGGCTGGGAAAACCTGGCAGTAGTACAACTACCACTGACTCATGCCCTTCTCAAAACTCTAAAGTAAGACGGTCTGGTATAGACCCAGAATGACAGAAGACAATTCCATGGTTGATTATCACCCAAGACAAGAAAGGTTAATATTTACATTGAATTCATATTAATTTATAGCAAAAGGTTTAAAGATTAGGAAGTTTAAGATAGAAACTGTTTCAAATAATAAAACAATATTTGTTCTCCTTGTTAATTATATATCTCCTAATGACAATCTCCTGATGACAGGAATCCTTTTATATAAAAACAGCTGATCTAGAAAGTATTGAATTGAACATTTTTTTTTCTCTTTTTCCCTTTTATTTTTACTTGATCATGGTTTTTATAACAGATTTAATTACTGTAATTTTATAGATGAATATTTTGTAATGAAATAATAATTACTAATTTAGAGTTTTATAAATCAATTTTGAGATGATTATTCTGATAGGAAATATTGATAGTTTATTGAAATATATTTGTGTTTTCTATAATGCATATATTTTAAATCTCAGGTATGTTATGCAAGTACTGTATCAAGTTCAACATGAGATCTAAGAATGGCAGTGGAACATGGGTTACCCATCCTTGTACATACTTAATCAAAGAAATTGTAACATCACACAAGTCCAAGATTCATCAGCAAGTTACAGACTTAGAAGCCAGCTCCATTGTTGCATCCAAGGGCTATAGTATCCATGTTTTATATATTCTTAAAAAGTATACAAACGGTTTATTGATTTACTTCTTTTTTACCAATTTTTTACTGATTCAATGTCTGCATAACACAGTACCACAGGAAACAAAGTAAAAGACATAAAGGTAATGACACAAAAACTAACCAGAAATAAAGCTAAGGCCAAAGATCCAGAATGTTTTTCACACAATTTCAGTCATTCTGAGATGACTTAAAAGTTGGGGCTCTTTTTTCAAACTGTCGAAATTATTCACACTAGATTCATAGCATCAACAAACTTGTATTGACTGTTTCATCGCACTTACTCATGAATTTTCTTACTGATTTTCTAAAAATGTTGAAAAACAGTTTACGGAATGCAACAGTTTCAAATTGAACTGATTTAATGACTCAAAATGGTAAATTTCTCAGATATCGCTAATGTTTCTTTCGATTTTGGAGACAAAATTAAAACCGCAAGTTTCACGAAACTACTAAAGTACCAGTAATTCTGGATTCATTTCTACGATTCGTTCTGCTTATCAAATTGACAGGAAATAACCGGATTCTTAATTTTATTACAATTAAGGATGTATTCTTCTGATGTTTCAGTCTTGTTGAAATCTCGTTTGGGAATTATTTCCAAAACATGTGATACAAGTGATAAATATTAATGAATTTAAAAAATATTACAATCAAACTAAACTCTGTGAAAAAATTGTGTACTTACAATAAGAAGTTTTTGAGTAATAAATTTTTCAAATTTTAAAACCAATCTGGTCAAGTGTCATCAGCCAAAATGTTGAGAAAATGGGTAATGGTTAAAAGAAATGATATTACCAAAAATATGTACATTCCATATTAATTTTTTCTTTTCAAAATTCTTAAGAAATGTATTTTTTCAATCCTTTATAACAAAGAAGTTGAAATAATATGCTTTGTGTTAAAAAAAAGAGAGAAATCTGAAAAATCCCAAATTTACAGAACGGTCAATTTGACACTATAAGCAACAAAATTTTATAAAACTTTCTAATATAAATAAGGACACCAACCTATAGTTCTTTTAAGTTAAATTAATTTAGATTGGTCCACTCCATCTTTAGTAAAAGTATGTAAAAAAAGTGTAATTGTGTAATTGTGGAACTGATTTTTTTCATCATAATAGCCCAAAAATGGGTAAAAATTGTTAAAAATTGGATACTTTCAAATGGCCGTAGCAAAAAAAGAAGTGCACCACAATAGATTTTTTTCTTCATCAATTACTTTCTTACAGTCATATAAACCCAAAAATTAGGCTAAGAAAAAAAGTTTAATTCTAGAAATTTTTGGCTCCTCAAAGGTGTACATCCTTAAAAGTTTTTTAATACAACAGATAATAATCGCACTCATTTGATTTAGCATGTAATCATATTGCATTTTAGGATTAAGTGTTTAATCTGGTGAAGACAATTATAAGCACGAGTATTACATAAAAATAAACAAAGCATACCTTTGACAATGTTTGACTTGTGAAAAATTACTTTTTCTACATAAATTAAATTAAGTTTTAATTTTTAAACCAGAATTGACGATGTCTAAGTCTTTGCTGAAAATTAATTAAATAAAGAAGAAAGTTGTCAAGGAATTTTAATTTCTTTATATAATATTAGTTCTGAGCTTATGATCACTGTCAGGTGTGAATTAAAAACCCAAGTAAAAGTGATTAGTGATCATTAGCCAATATTTCCGGAGGTATTGATATGGATATTAGGAAGGCCCTCAGGATGTATTCTACTGAAAGGGCAGTTTTATTACAGGAAACGGATTACAAAGCAAAAAAAAAAAGAGTAAAATGGTGATTAAGATACTCGATCTGAATGTTGGGACATTAAGTACCTGTGTAATTTTATATGCATAATAATTTTTAATAATTTTTCACAAACTTATTTAAACTTAAATATTGTTGAGGTGATATGAATGGTGCCAATACTATATGAATTCATCATTTTTACCTGTTATTTCATAACAATTTCTTATTTGATTTTTCTTTTGTGTGTGTTTGTTTGATTATTTTGTAATTCTTTGTTTGTTATATTTCAATGTATTTCATTAGGGCCTCAGAGAAGATTAGTTTTATAGCTACTGTGAAACCCTCCTTAAATAAAGAATTATTGTTATTATCATACCGAAATTATTTCGGTAAAAAAATGTTTGTGAAATCAGGGAAAACATTTTAACCATGAAGTAGAACATTGTACACCTCAAATGGTATCGTAAGTTACTTTATCATTACTTTTGGATATTTCTGGAAATATTTTGAACCAACAAGCACACAAAAGGTAAGAATTTGTATATATGCAAAAAGTTCTAGTTGTCATTGAAGATTTTATGGCAAAATTGAATTTAAAAGTTCAGCCCAAAATTTTCTCTCAAAGTCAAGACGAAAAAAAGCTTAAGGTTCATAATAACAAATGGACAAATATGGCTGTATTTTCACCTCAAAAAGTACTCTGTGTACAGACTTACCTATGCAGTTTGGAAAGTTTTAAGGCCTGGCATCCACATGATATATAAAAGTTAAATTTATTTTGCATAACGGAAAGATAAAATCGTTTTTGGATTTTGATGGCCATTTTTTTTCCTTCCTGCAGAAGGTGTAAAAATAAACAAACACCTGAATTGCATTTGATACTGTCCACTCAGTCTACCTTTAACTCACCTATAGATGTGTAGATATCTATTGTCCATGCCAATCACAGACAATCAATACAATACAAACCAGTTGTAACCTGAGAGGGAGCATCTCAAAGTTGTATCCCAACTTAGTTAATTTTTACACCTTCTGCAGGAACGAAAAAAAATGCCCATCAAAATCCAAAAACGATTTTATCTTTCTGATATGCAAAATAAATTTAACTTTTATATATCTAGTGGATGCCAGGCATTAAAACTTTCCAAACTGCACAGGTAAGTCTGTACACAGAGTAGTTTTTGAGGTGAAAACAGACTACACGAATGAATTTTATTTTTACAGGACATTCGGTCTGGTAAACAACCTAGTTTTACCAGACCGAATGAAATTTTACCTGACCAATTTTTTTTACATCTAATTGTATATTATCCGACAAAATACAACAATCTTATGACTTATTGTGCCCTACTCCTCTCCAAAATCATGTGACAAAGAGTGTATACATGTATTTTGATGAAAGTTGTGCACAATTGCTGGAATGCATTTTAGTGATAAAGAAAAGTAATGTCACATTTTATTGGATTTTGACATGAAAATTATTTGTGAACTAAAAATTTTGAGTTTCTGTATAAAATATTTCCTGTATCTTCTTTCATTTTCATATATCTTTTGGTTTTCAATTCTAGTGTTTATATTTCATAGCTGTATTTTGTGAACCTGCTTGGATTTTTTTTATGTTTCTATTGTATTTGATCGGCAAACCCGGAAATTGTCCTTATCCGTTCCCGGAATCTGATCCGGTATTGTTTATATTTCCGGTTGATGGCAGCCATTGTTGTTTTTGTCAGTCAGGATATATGTTTTTACTCGGATTTACACATTACTTGTATGCGATTTTCGGCATTAAACTAGCGGTTGAACAAAATAAACATCGCTGTCATGAATAATAAAGATGAGAATGAATTTTGAGATCGTTTGGGAATTTTGCCCCCAAAATTGGGAAAAATGTAGGGTTTTTAAAAAAATCCACGAAAAATATAACACCGGACATTCGGACCGGAATTCAACAAAATTTTACCAGACCGATCCATTATTCACCGGATTTGTCCGACGGTCCGACGTATTTCGTGTAGTCTGTGAAAATACGGCCATATTTGTCCATTTGTTATGATGAACCTTAAGCAATATGACGTCGCAGGAAGGCGTCACAGAAAAAAATTTAAAATAGCCTTTTCAAGACGTCATAATAATTTATTTGGACTAGACCCATTCTACTTCTAGTTAACTCGGGTCTGGGTACCAGGGCAGAGATGTGCGTGTGAGGGTGAAATCACCCTGGTAACGTACTATGATTGAACACGGCACCTTCAGCACTGCCGCCAACGGTCTTAACCACTGAGCCATGCACCCATACTTATCATTGATGCTAAATATTTATTGGCCACATTTTTAAGGGGTTGAGCCGGCTACAGCCGGTAGAACATGTTTGAAGTGTGATAGCGTTGTTCGACTTCTTCTAAAATTTCAAAATATGTATAGAATATTTTTTTTTGTATCTTATTCATTTGGTACTAACAGTATCCGCTCCAGTGGGTTGTACACCGCCCTGTGAAGGACCTAAATATTTTCGAAAATAGTCCATTCTGGGGTTTTGTGATTCGTGGCTTCCGGAGTGTACGCATGCGTATTAAACGTGGCAATCTCGCAGTAAATAAATATAATTGTATGTGTTGTTTATTAAAGATTATGATTAACTACTGGACGTGGGAATATAATGAAAGATACTTAGTACTTAACTTTTAAATATCTGAAAACCGCCTTATTTAAACTGAATTATCTACTTTCACTTTCTAGAACAAAGTGCTCATTTTACTGTTGACAATTAATTTTATCAACACTTTACACAACAACATTGCATGCATGAAAATTACATCCTGTTTTTGATCTAGGAAAGCCGGCAAACAGTGGAGAACAGTGTTACGGTGTTATTGAGGTATGCCATTTATGCATATATAGAGAAAGTTTATTTTGATCAAACGTGATCATCAATCCTTAGATCTTACTATAAATAAGGCTGTAGTGTACAGCACTACTGAACTTCCAATTTTACTAATGTGGATAAGAATTTTTAAAGCTACTTTAGTATATGCAGATATTGGTTCTGCATAGAGTGTAGCAACGTTTCTGCAAAATTGTATGAATTATTGAAAACTTGAGTCCACCCCTAACCTGCCATTTAATAGACGTATTTACACTTGTATGCAAATTTATCAGCCATTACGTAAAATCACACAGGTTCCCGTAAACTTTGACATCATAATTCAAAACATTTGACGTCACAATTAAAAAGTGATTGTTGCCTGACGTCAATAGGTGATTCGGAGTAGATCTAAGGTCATTCAGAGGCAAAATATAGCTAAATACCAAAAGTGTAAATACGTTTATTGTGATGGATATGTCCGCGTATTACCCAAACTAAATGAATAAGGTTAAATATTGAGCGTCAAAGAGTGCTTTTTGAAGAACTTGACACTAAACTGAAAGTTGTTGAATCTAGCATGGATGATAAAATTGATAAAAGATTTGAAAGAGCTTTTGAGTCGTTTAGGGACCAAGAGGAAAGAAAATGTAATTTAGTTATACACAATCTCCCAGAACCAGATAGTCATGATAGTAGTACCGATAATAAGAAAAGAGATGATGAAATTTCGTTGAAAGATATATTACACACTGTTCAGAGTGATGAAGTTGAAATTAAATCATTTATAAGATAAGGGAAGCCAAATAAGAATAAACCGAGACTGATGAAAGTTACCGTAGGCTCCCTTGTAAATAAACATAAAGTTCTAGGGAACTCTAAATTGTTAAGAAGAAAAAACAGTGATGGGAATACTGTTTATAAATGGAACAATATTTATATTACCCCTGACTTGACCAAAGAGGAGAGAGACATTAACACTGAGCTAAGAAAAGAGCTAGAGGGGAAGAAAAAGGCAACAAACAATGCAAACTTGGTAATTTTCCGGGGGAAATTCATGGAAAGAAAAGATATTTCTGGTCAGTCTAGCATGACAAATATAGCTGGCAGTTTTGAAAGTGGCGGCTCAAGTCAGACTGCCAATTTTCAACCGTAGTCTTTCTATAGAAAAGATCGAACAACATGTAAATACATTAATTCCAGTTGGTTTTTGTTACAGTTCAAATGTTACAGTTAATTTTTCTAAATCATTTTTAAATAACTTTGATAATGCGAAATATGACAATGCAAGTACCTCAGATGTTGGTTCAATAAGTGAATCTGATGCTATAAGCGAAGAGGGTAGTGTGATAACTGATAGTACAGATGAGAATAGGCAAGACAATATTGATAAAATAGATCGAAATTTTAACCCTTTAATTGTTAACAAATTTAAGAGCATGTACACCAATGCCGATCAATTACGTAATAAAATTGATGAACTTGAAGCACAAATACAGGTCATGAAACCAGATTTCATTTTTATAAGGGAAGTTTTGCCAAAAACAAATATTGATATAGATTGCATTTCACCACTATTTAACATTAATATTGAAGGCTATACAGCATATCCGAGTAAAATACAGGAAGGGGAGTTATTATTTATGCAAAAAGTCATTTCTGTGTTTCACCTAATGAACATATGAATTCACTTTATGATGATGCCTCGTGGAGTAATTGGGTAAAAGACAATAAGACTGTGTTGTTAGGCTCAATATACAGAAGCCTATCAGATCAGAACTCGTGTTTAAATATTTTTGGACTTTTGAATGAAGCAGCCCGATTGTATAACAATATTTTAATAACAGGGGACTTTAATATGCGTGATATTGATTGGAACTCTTGGACTACACCTCACTCTGAGGACCATTATGAGCATACTTTTATTGAAGCTTTACGTGACAATTTTCTATATCAACATATAGATAAACCTACAAGATTTAGGGAAAATCAGACTTGTAGAACTCTAGATTTAGTTATTACGAAAGATGAAAGCAATATTGATGCTCCACTTGGACTAAGTGATCATGCTACTATTACATTTGACTTTTTGTACTCTTTCAATGAATATGAAACTGGTAAATTGAAATATGAATACTCCAAATGTGACTTTGAGAAATTTTCTGAAGACTTAAGCAAAATTGATTGGGATAGTTCTTTTGATGATAAAGACATTGGCCATATGTGGAAAATATTTTCAGATAAACATAAAAATGTGTAGAAATGTATGTACAAAAAAATGTACCAAAAATTAATCCTAAACCTGGTTGTCAACCTAAACCATTATGGCTAACATTTGAGTGTCTGAGCAAAGTAAAACGCAAACAAAAGTCATGGTCAAGATACTTGGCTACTAGACGAGAAGTAGATTTTGATTATTATAAAGTTGCTAGAAACAAGGCAAAAGAGAATGTTCGAAAAGCAAAAAAGGAATATGAGAAGTTAGTGGCATCAAAAGCTAAAACCAATGAAAACTGAGCCAAAACATTTTTGGACATACGTCAAAAGTAAAGTGAAATCCAAATCATCAGTATCAAACCTCATGAAACCAAGCGGGGACTTAACTACTTCCGACAAAGAAAAGGCGACAGTATTGATTGACTTTTTACGAGTGTATTTATTGCTGAAAACCCAAATAATATACCTAACATTGAAGAAAGAAATTTTGAATCACCTTAAGAACATTTTGTGATCAATCAAGACACAGTTGAAAAATATCTGCTTTTATTAAATGGAAGCAAGTCTATGGGTCCAGATAATATTCATCCTTTAATAGTAAAGAGTATGGCAAAAACATTTTTCAAAACCTTTGACTTTGATATTTCAAAAGTCGATTGACACTGGAAAAATTCCCAAAGAATGGAAAGATGCTAGAGTTACCCCACTTTTTAAGAATAAAGGTAGTAAACTGGATGCAGGAAATTACAGACCGGTCAGTCTTACTTCAATTGTTTGCAAAACTTTGGAAAAGGTTATCTGTTAGGAAATTATTGATCACTTAGTTACCAATAATTTGTTATCAGATTCACAGTTTGGTTTTCGCTCTGGTAGATCATATATATTACAATTACTTGATGTCATGGAAGACTGGTCATTATTTATGGATAATAATATATCGTGGGACACATTATACCTTGATTTCGCAAAAGCTTTTGATAAAGTGCCTCATAAGAGATTATTAAAGAAACTGTATTCATACGGTATTCATGGATCCATATTAGGATGGATAACTGACTTTTTACCTGAACGTGGACAACAAGTTGCGGTGAAAGGGGAAAAATCTGAATGGCAAAATGTAATAAGTGGAGTGCCCCAAGGCAGTGTACTAGGACCTGTTCTTTTTATTATATTCATAAACGATTTACCAGATGTAGTAGAGTCTATAGTAAAAAAAATTCGCAGACGATGCCAAAATTTATGCACCAACTTCTAAATCTGATGTTTTACAAAATGATCTAGACGCACTCTACAATTAGTCCAAGTTATGGGATATGAAATTTAATGTGAACAAATGTAAGCGAATCCACTATGGAAGAAACAATCTTGAAAATGTCTATACCATGAACAATATTGATATCACTCAAGATGAACAAGAAAAGGATCTTGGAATTATTTTTCAAAATGATCTTAAATTTTCACAACACATTTCAAGTAAAATAAATAAAGCCAATAGTATACTTGGGTTGATTAACCGGACTTTTAGCTTTAAAGATCAATCTACCATTTTAAGAATACATTGCGTTGGTACGACTGCACATGGAATATGGAAACACAATATGGTATCCGCATTTGAGGAAAGATATTAATGCAGTAGAAAAAGTGCAGATGAGAGCAACTAAATTAATTCCGGATATAAGACATTTGGGTTATGAAGAAAGATTAAAAGTACTTAAACTTCCTTCTCTTACTCACAGAAGGCGAAGAGGTGATATGATACAAGTTTTTAAAATTATAAAAGGAATCGAAGATATATCTTATGAAAGATTTTTTACTGTCATGCATAATTGGAAATTAGCGAAACCTAGATGTAACACTTCTTTTCGTCATGCATAATTGGAGACATTTTTCACAATATAAATGATTGGAATAACCTACCAGTTGAAGTTATTTCTTCAAAAACTGTGGAAGCTTTTAAAATTAGTATAGACCGTCATTGGGAGTCAGTAATGTATCAGTTCAGTAATTGATGAGGACACAAATAGTTTTTCTATCATTTTTTAATTTTGTGAAATATTGCACCAAACCATGCAGGATTGATGTTTGTGTCAGTTATAAAAGTGTAACAAAATAAGGTGGGCTAAAAAGGATAGGATCCTTCCATATGAGCCCCACAATGATCTTACAGGATCTTACAGTATTTACATGTATGTTGACAAAACAGGTATCTTGTCCATTCACTCCCAAAACACGTTCGCACCCTACATGTGTGCACCTTATTTTTATTTAAATATAGGTTGAATTAATATTAAATGTACTTTAGTGTAAAGTAAAGTAAAAATAGTTAGCTTGGTAGGAGTAAACACAATGAAGATTTTGAATAGAAAACATGAAAGGTAATAGGCCCCTTCACAGTTAGTGCAGCCATGTTGAATAGGGGTCAGATTTCCATAACAAAGGTAAAAATGGTTTGAAAAATATGGGAAAACATCATTAAAACTGAACAGTTGCTTGGAAACATGCATAGGATTTCCTGTACTTTCATACTATTTAAGTGGTCATCTCAGTACCAGAATCTATGACAAACAAGACGGTTTTAATTTTGAAATGATCAATTTCCCCCATATTTATAGCAGCAATATACCAATTTCACCTGCATATGGGATATCCATTTCCCAACTCATTCGGTATTCAAGAGCTTGCAGCTGCTACTCAGACTTTATAAAACGTCACCAGTGTCTGAGCAGAAAGTTGACGAACCAGGGTTATGTCAAAGAACATTTCGTCCTTTTTCTAAAAAAGTTCATTGGAAGATACCAAGACCTTGTTGAAATTTTTCTCTATTCTTTATATTTTAGCACCCCATGATTATTGTGTACTTTAATTTTGTTGACCTATTTTTCTCTATTCTGTATTTTTTGGGTCCATTTTTCTGAAGTATTGGTCAACTGTTCTCTGCTCTGTAAACCCAATCCAGACCCTCATGGTAATGCACCTACATGTTATAAACATGTGCTTTGTAGCCATGTTTTTGTTTAATTCGTTGTTGTAGCAATGTCATTGTGACTAGTTTGATAGTTTGGTGTCTTCCTCCTTTCTTTAACAAGTCTTAGAGCTAGACGAATGACTTGGACTTTGATCATCATGTCAATATTCAATATTCCTTTTTTTCAAAAAAATTCACAAAACAAAACTTGTTTACGTTTTTAGAATGTCACTTCATTTTTTAAACAATAAAATTACTTATTATCTTTATTTCATAGCATTACACTTAACTTAAGCATGATTAAAAAATTATTCAATACATAACCTTTAAAAAGGGTGCGAACGTGTAGGGTGTGAAAGTGTGTGGTGGGAACGTGAATTGGAGCTAACATGATTTTGGGCGAACAGACCTGGATTTGAAAAAACAAAGTAGATACCTAATCCATTGAACTGTGACGCCTTGGTCAGTTTAATTTAATCTAAAATTGCAGTTTATTTTGCTAGGTCAGGTCATAGAGAACTTTCCCGTAAAGTTTCATATCGGTCCGGCACCATGTCCACCAGTACCAAGTCGACCCAAACCAAGTCTTTACGGCCGGAAGTTGTTCTGTCACATATTTAAAGTTGATTTGGCCAGTATATGAAAAATACAAGGGGAAAAAGTGATGAATAGATATAAAAATAAGGATATGTGGTATGACAAACAATGAGACAACTATCCACCAGAGTTCAAATGAAGAGGATTTAAGCAATTATAGGCAAATATACTGCTTTTTATCATTTGTAGTAAAGGAAAGTTAATGGATGAAAATAAGATTTTCTTGGGAGCCAGAAGGATTTTGAAAATCAATATCCTGGCTAGAATGCGAGAGCTGGTCTAGTTACCGCTCGACTCCCTCTGTCCGTCCGTCCATCTGTCTCCAAGTCTGAAATACCTTGGGTAGAAAACTTTCTTCAAAGTTTTCTTGCCTTCTATGGAAGGGAAGGATTTTATATTTGGTCTGCAGCTTGGTAATTATGAGTTGTATGGTTTAAGCAAGTTTTACATCTGCTGTGCACCTGCTTCCTGCTTGTGGATAGTTGGAAATTTTAAAACACTCATTGAACAAGGAAAATTTTTCTTCAAAGTTTTCTAATAGCTTGTATTGAAGGGAATGATTTTATGTTTGGTCTGCAGTTTGATAATGATGAGTTGTAGCGTACAAGCAATTTTTACATCTGCTGTGCAGCTGCTATGTATACATGGTACATGTATGTATAGTTTGAAGTTTACAACTCTCATTGAACAAGGAAAATTATTGTCAAAGATTTCTAGGATTTTACGCAAGGGAATAATTTTATATTTGGTCTGCAGCTTGATAATGATAAATTATAGCTTGTGAGCAATTTGTACATGTGTTGTGCAGTCCTTCTTCCTATTCGCCTATAGTTTGAAAATTTCCAATACTCATTGTACAAGGAAAATTTTTGTCTCAGTTTTCTTACCTTCAATGAAAGGGAATTATCAGTTATGCTTCAGTATACAAGCAACCTAACCACTCATTGTTCTCATTAGGAAGAGTAAGTTGGTCTAGGTGGAGCAAAATTGAACTCATTTTTTTAGCAGAAAGAGTTATTCTCAAAGTGGTGTTGAGTGTGTAGAAAGTGGGGATGAGTTTGTTGAAATTGGGAATGAGTAGGTGGGACCAGATGTCTTGGAATCCTATAGTCTGTTAAAGCCTTAATTTTGTATATGTTTTTCTAAAAATAAAGTCAAATCCTTCATCAGTTTTGAATCAAGAAATATAACTTTTATAAAGGGGGAGGTGTGCTAAACATACTAAAGGCACCTTTCAGCCTACAAAAATAAAGTGTTCAATAACTAGGTAAATTAAGCACAAAAATAATTACGATATGTATGAGCAAAGTTTAAAGTGTACTATATTTTAAATATCATGAATGTATACAGAGATTTTATAGCAAATTCCAATTTTTTTACAAAAATGACAAAATTTGCATATTTTCACACATGTTTATTATTGGGGAAAAACTGAGCACATGCAAGTACCATAAAAATACTGTGAAAGTACTTTGATTCGTGGGTATCAATTTTCGTGGTTTCAGCAAAAGTCGTGGGATTTTAAATTCGGACAGAAGCTAATCTTCAAGTCCAAGAAAATGTTTGAATTTTTCTTGAAATTCTGTATTTTACTGATAAATGGACTCACTTTTCAAGTCAACATTACACTTTTACACTGACAGCAGCAATCGCAGGCAAGACACAGGGTTCCACGGAAACCCTTACGAATTTTTTATTTTGCCACACCTTAACTATAACACAGATATAAATTGAAGTTCGAATTTCAGTTAACTGTTTAGGCTTATTAAAGCCCTTGTAGCACCTTGCCTTTTAGGTCTGCAAAGTCAAAAGGATTTAGTCCAAGAGTCCCAGGACTGATGGCATAGTAAGTAACAACTCTACCTACTGCACTTAAAGAATACTCAACTAGTGCAGGGTGGTTATAAATCTTCTAGGTCAAGGAAAACACCAATATACTTATGTGAAAGAAAGTATTTGTTGATGTCTTCGGACATTGTAAGACTGCAAATTATTTGTGGAGCCTATTGTCTATTTTAAGCATTTTTAATTAGCTCCAAAAGCTTGTAATTCACTATTGACCTGATTGTAAATTTAGAGCAAATTAATGGCTTTATGGCTCATCCAATTTTATGGAGCTTTATGGTATTATTAGTGCAATTCCAAAAAGTGGGAAATTATGATAGATGTTAGAAGGTTAGTAGGACAATATTGAAAATAGATTGGTAGATTAAGTTGAAGATTCATGTCCATAATCCTGTAAATTTGATTATGTGTGGCTAATATTTCATAAATATTCAGTTACAAATTTCAAATAGTCTTATAGATAGGCATGCCATTTGGTTAGACCAGGATGAAGGGTGGAAAATTTGGAATAATAATTGCATGCTTCTTTAAACGCCTGCACAAAAATTTCAAACAAATGAAATAAATAAAATATAAGACATATTTTTATAAATATGTAATTTTGCATGTTTCATTTTGAAAATTAAAAATAATGATATGCAAAAATTACATAATTTAAAAAAAGTGCTTGTGTATAAATTTTCCTTAAGTACTTTCCATTGAGTGTTTGTTGAAGACCATCCATATATAAGGTGTTATATAGATACAATGGATAAGCGTGGATTCTTAAAAAAGAAACCATGAGCCCGGAGGGCGAATGGTTTGTTTTTCATGAATCTACGCTTATCCATTGTATCTATAACTTAAACTATTGTGTTAATTTCTTTTCAAAATTAAAGCCTTTTCTTAATTAGAAGGTATTGTAAGTGAGTTTAAATAACCATGTTATCGTGTCCAACGATGCATTGATAAATCTCAGATCACAATTAATTGGTTAACAAAATACAAATATAACACTTCTACCTTTAAAGAATTTTATATTACCAGGCATATGAATATTATCTGTTTATACAAAATAAGACATATTCGAAATTATTTCTTATAAAATTGAAATGGAAATGGGGAACGTGCCAAAGAGACAACAACCCGACCAAAAAGCATATATAAAGTATATATATATATAATAAGTATGTTATCGAAATTTTTCTAGCACTCTAGGCACATCATGATTTTCTCGCATAGGAATTTGCGAACAAACCTTTGTAAAATTATGTAGTAAAACAAATAAAATCATACTATATTTATAAAACAAAAATTGACAAATAGAATGTAATCATTTTTGTTTCAAACATGTGAATTAGCCAAAAATAATTAAAAAAAACCGGTAAAACTCGCTATTATTACAAAAATATCCACTATAACTTGCAAAATAAGAAAAAAAACTAGGATAACTTAAGAATTGGTACAACAAAGAGAATACAGGGATTTGTCGGTGTGTTGATGTCAGTCACACATAACAGATTTCAAGGAAGGGTTCGATTCCCAGTGAAGGCATATAAAAATTACAAAAATTAAAGGTAAGTTTTTAAATTAATTCCATTAGTGAACAGAAATCAGTAAATTAGCCTATTCAAACTTAATGAAATTAGGCACACAAAGGAAACAATTGAATATAATTTGGTGAGTCAATTTCAGCGGCAGATTTAGGAAGCGTTGATTCTAGAAAAAGAATCCACGGTAAATGAATAGGCTGACGTCACCACAATGGTTTAAGTTTACAACTACCTTTATCTATTATTAGAAATCTGATCACTCTTTTATTGATGCACTGAAATATTATTTCAGTAACATATAAATCAAGATTTAAACATTATGGTAATTAGTGTCACCTTCTTCAGGTCTTCAATAGGCCTTAGGGTAAATAACCTACTTTGAAGAATTTTATTTATATTTTTATATAAAAATATTTATTTATTTTATGTAATTTATAATGACATGCAAAAAGAAGAAATATATATCTAACTTTCTTCTTCCATGCATTACTTGTTATCCAGTACAGTGTTATTACAAAGCAAAAACAAATATTTATTTCTAAAAAGGTAATTTAAGTACATGACATACTTCAGCAAAATCAGATATCGTGATCACCATTGAATAGTTATAGTTATTTATATAGTATCAATATAACAGATTTTTTTCTCCATTTTTTTATTTAAACATTGAAATAATATGAAGAAATATTGATGTTTGTTAAATACCATGTTCATTGATTAACTGTTTTAACATTTTTCAGCTTCACTTGTGAAATATATCCAGTTGTAAAATGTTACCAGTATACACGTTATAGTAAAGAACTCACCTTGCTCAGGTAAGTTGATGTTAATGTGTATGATTAAAATTGATGAGTTGCAGCATCACATAAATAGTGAAATTTAACTTAATCCTGTATTCAACAAATATCTTAATTTAAAAAAAAGACAATATTGAGGATAGAAATTCTCATAGAATTATATTCTTGAAAAAATTGGTATTGGTAATATTCTATTGAAGACATATAGATTTGAATTTATTGATATTTTTTAAAACTTTTATTTAAAGGGGCATTAGCTGTAAAAATGATTTTTTGTGGATCGAATTAGCCCATGAAATGGTTCACCTTTGTTCCCCTTTCAATTTTAACATTCTTTTCCTTTTAATGGCTGAACACGCACAATACATGCGTAACCAATCTCTAGCTCAGGGATGAAATGGAAGGTCACATGAATACAGATTCAATGAGGTCGAATTATTCACTGGCAAGTGAATAATTCATCAGTGATGTTTCTTAGCTTATTTTGACAAAATTGAACTAAACTACTGGCTGCTATAACTTAGCTAATTCCCCTGTAAAATGTTTTTGGGGTAAGAGTTTGAACCTAAAAATAAAACTTATGTGAGTATTTTTAAGCATATTGGGTAAATATGACACAATAGTTATGAGGGAGGATACAAATGACACAGCCATATTTATCAGTAAATAATATTTTAAAAGAAAAAAGAATATTATAAATAAATATGTTTCAGACATAAATTATTATTTTAAATCTTCTTTAGTGAACAGATGATAACTGTTTACAAAGGTTTTCTGATTCATTTTCTTCTTAATTGAAAGGCTAAATAATGATCCAAAGTATTCACTAACTAATGGTTAAGGATGTTCGCTCCTCCGTTTCAAAATAACAAGGTTTTTAAGAGACTGTTATAGATTGATAGAATGTCAATAAGGGAACCTAAAAATTAGAAAAAAATGATAGGTCCGTGTTCTAGTTTTTGAGATATAATCAGTTGAAAATTTGGCGGGAAATGGTTCTCCCTAGATTTTTTCATACATTTAACATTGACACTTTTTCGTTTCAAAAGCTATGAAAAAATAACAAGGATGTTATAAAATTTTCAGAAGTGACTTTTAAAACTATATGCAATAAAAATATGAAAGAAAAGTAGGGGTCAGTGGGCAAAATTTTTATTGGCACTACATGGATAAAACTAGAGGATTCTGAATATCTGACAATAAATCAAAAACAAGAGGAGCGAACATCCTTAAACAGTAGTTTTTACTGAACAGCACAAATTTAGATATACATTTAGTTAAGTTGGCAAATCACAAAAAAAAAACATGATGCATATATTTCCTTGTCTTCAATATTTCTAAGACCTCAGTGTGCTATTCTGGTGTTGCAAGTTTCTTTACATGTATGTATATTGGTGTATAGCATGGATTGATAGTGTACTGAAAACTAAATCTTAGTCTTAACTGACGAGAAATTATATGGTACAACTATTAAACCAAATAATTAGCTGTGAACATGTGATTATAAGGGATAAAAAACATATCCAATTACTTACTACTAGTATTGATCCTGACACAGCAGGTGGATTCTACATTTAAGACTACAATCTTTTTTTAATTTTTCAGGAATAGGCAGCATATTTTTTAACTAATCCAACTGTTTTGACATACATTTTCAGGTAAGGAATTGTAGTGACTTTAATCGTGTGTAACATAACATCATACTTTACTGTTCCCTGTTGTAACATCATTATCCTTGGTTACTTTATGTTGAGCTTTGTTTTACATTTTTTATGATATAAGTTCCACTTTACATGAGGATGATGAATGGATGCTTAACATCCAGCGGCAAATTAATATGCATATTCAGGACAAGAACATGTTAATATAATATGAATATTAACCCTGCTTTGTACTAGACTGGGGGCCTCGGTGGCCGAGTGGTCTAAGTAGTTACTACTGTAATCACTAACCAGTCAACACTGAGGTTGTGAGTTCGAACCCCGCTCCACTCGACTCCAATCTTAATTGACTAGGATTGTCAGTTTTCCTATCGAAATAGCCCAAAAGCGGTGCGTAAAAGTGGCGTTAAAACACCAAAAATCAAAAATCAAATTTGTACTAGACTGACACGCTGAGTGGGATTTTTAACATGCTAGTTCACAAGGTAACAGTCAGCAGGAAGACATGTCACCTTACCCAGACACATTACCAGTCTTTGCTCTTACTCCTTAATGCCGCATGCTTAGCGGAGAAGCAACAAATACCAATTTTAAAGTCTTTGGTTTGACCCGAACGAAGTTTGAACCCACGACCTCCCGCACTTGAGGCAAACACTATACCACGCGATCTTCATTACATGTTGTCTATATACATGCCTAAGATATTTCAGGTATATATTCTAATTCTTCAGTCAGGAATTTTGCCTTGACCTCACATGTGAACGACATATTCTGAATTTTTGAGAAATCATTACATTGACAAGACATTTCCAAGAGTCCTCTCTTGTTTTCATTTATAACATCTTGTTTCTTTTGCCTTTGACCTTTTAAGTTCTCATGCTGCCTGATGAAAATTATATATATAAAACTTTGCTGCCTCCCATTCAACACTAGGTTAGCTTCGTCGGCCAAAATGTTGTTGGTTTTTTGAGTGATTTTCTGATGGCAGTTTTAGATATGGTATCCAAAAATATTGAACTAAATGTGACAGAAATAATTTTTGTTTGAACCTCGTCTGAAAATAGGATTTTAATTATTGATGAAAAATGTGTTTTTTTTTTATGTGATAAATAACAAAATCTTCTTAAAAAGAACTTGAAAAAAAACAAGGTATCTGAAATATGAACCATGTGCAGCTTGATGGTAGTATAAATTCCATTGTCGTTAATTAACAGGTTATAAAATGTATACCTTAACACTTTGTTTTTTCACATTTTTTCTCCCTTAAAGCTGAACTTAATTTATTTTCTAATTATACAAATATCTATAACCCTTCATATCATAAAAGTTAAATTCAAATGACCATTTGATTAAAGATTTAGATCTGATTGTAATTCTCACACTACTACTTCTAAAAGACTCGATAACAAATTAGCTATTTGTGAATCAATAAATATGAATATTACCCAGACGAAGCAATATTTAAAGTTTGACATGCCTCATTGGTTGCTATTTGTTACCAGTCAAAACAAAGGTGATACAGAGGTGCAATATAAGTTATCTACGTTCATATCCGTAGATATGGATATTTTAACACCCTAAAGTATCCTAGTACACCCTGAGGTGCAGCCGAAGGGTGTACAGGGTACTGAAGGGTGTTAAAATATCCAAAACTACGGATATGAACGTAGATAACGAATTTATCCCCGATCTTAGTCTAAATCTGGTAATTTTTAGAGAAATTCGACCACAAAGTTTAACGTGAAAGCAACGTTTTTTTCATTTTTTAAATATCTTTTATTGAAATTTGGGAATTTGACATAATTTAGAGGGGTGTATGGTACTACCTTTGGTAGTACCCTACAGGTAGACAAATATAAGACGTTTTTAATCTAGAGACAGAGAAACTAAAATGGGTTGAATTTGGCGCTCAATGTTGTGAGAGTTACATCATAGACGGCGTGACGTCAACGTGGGTCATTTGCATAGCTAGATCAGTAGTCCCATTCATTGACAATATGGCAGCATAGTGATTCATTTACTAAAACGAGTGCAAATAATCGACATATTATTAAGATAAAATCGTTAGTGGATTAAGTATCTAATTATACAGACATCATGGATAATCTACATAATTCGATATTTCATAAGGAACAACCATGGAACTAAGGAAAACGCGCGTGAAGTTCCCCGATGTAATGGGTAGCAACGTCCGGGGATATGGGTTAGCAACACCCAGGGGCTATGGGTTTTGTAACGACGTGCGTTAACCAATCAAAATCCTGGAAATATACTAAGCCGGGGATAAGGGTTGTTATTTATAACAACTCAAATGATAAGAAAATAATTGAATATTTATTTGTTTCTATCATTTCATATTCAGATGATAACAAGAAATACTTATAAAACCAGTCAAATATCGTTAACATTGACTGACCTGAATAGAATACAAAATACGAAATGTTTTATTGATGAAAGCTCTTAAAAGAACGTATGTTGATACAGGATAAAATATATATAGACATGAAAAGAAAAAGAACAACACAAACAGAGAAAGAGAATGAAAATTACAACAAAGATTGACTAGATGCTTTATATATCAGTATGCTCATTGTAAAGGAACTCTTATATTTACCGTTACAGCAAAACCTTTTAACTTCATCATATTTTAAAACATGTGATTAAATGCAGTTAATTCAGATTTTTGCAATGTTTTTATTATTGTAAAATTGTGACAGGATAGGTTTCCCAAAAAATAAAAAATTGGATTTTAAATTTTATAGCATTATTTTGATGCAGCATTACCTGAAATCGCAAAAACTAATCTCACATTTTTTATCCATTGTTCAGCAATTGAAATAATAAATGGACACAAAAACTTCTAAATTTACACTATTCTGCAATTACATCACAAAAAAGACTAGTTCTCTTTACTTAGTAACCAGACATGTAAATTTGTTTTCGTCTGATAATTTCTTGAAATTTTTATGATCAATTTGGAACAGAAATATATGTACTTTTAAGTTGATATTACAGGATTAGAATTACAGTTTTAAACACAAATACAATTTGCATAGCATAGAAAAAAACTTTTTTGCTTAACCAGGTATGTTCATTTTCAAATCTGAAAGCTTAGAAACATAAAATGTATTTAAACGTAATGCAGAAAAGGGAAAAAAACAAAAAACATTCACTTTATCCTTGTATCAAAAGGCTCTCCTTGTTCTAAGCTTTAGTTATGTAGCTCTTCCCAACGAAAGGTACAAACATATATGAAGCACCATTGCAGAATCACAAGAAATGGATGTGCTTGTTATCACAAGTCAAGAAAAAAGGGGGACAAGTCATATATCAAAGAATGATTTATTCTATTGACTTTCTGCTGGAAAAAAAAACAACATATATGACATGTTGTATATTTTTTTTTTTCTTTTCTTTGAAATGTCATGGCAGATGATAGCAAAAGAAAACTATTTTTGTTGATTGATACAAAAAAAGCAATACATTTACTATCACTTTTGATGTCTGGATGTAAACTTTAAAACACAATATTATTTTTTTCTATTCCAGAGATGGCATTAACTGTTGCAGGGATCCAGAAATTCCTAGACGTCACAGTCTCACTACAGTCTTTCCCACTATTTTGTATATACCTCGTTATGATTATGTTATCCCCAGTATGGCAAAGAGTTACCTCCCCTATGCAAATCCGACCTGTAAGTTATTACAATATTAAGAGAAGATTTTTATTTAAGATTCATGAGGATGGAAATATAAAAAAAACTATCTTGAAAATAGAAAAATTACAATATAATTTTAGTATGTTTTATTTCAGTTGACAAGCTATAATATTTGTTCTTATGTTGTGCTGTAACACCACTGTCCCAGATTAGGAGAATCCCTTACATGTTTTATCCTGCAAAATTTTATATGTGCCTGTTCCTAGTGAGGAGCCTGTAATTCAGTGGTTATTGTTAGTTGCTATCTTTAATATTTGTTTTTCATTTATTGACTTGTACATAGATTAGGCTGTTTTGGTTTCTTGTTTGAATTGTTTTATATTTTTTCATGTCAGGGCCTTTTTATAGCTTACTACATTGTGTGTGTTTCGCTCATTGTTGAAGGAAGCTAAAATTTGTCATTTTGTTGCAGGTAGATATTTGTCTCATTGGCAATCATACCACATCTAATTTTTTATGCCCCACTTAGGGGCATTATGATTTTCGGTCTGTGCGTCCGTTCCTCTGTTCGTCTGTCTGTCCGTCCGTTCGTCTGTCTGTCCCTCTTCAGGTTAAAGTTTTTAGTCAAGGTAGTTTTTGATGAAGTTGAAGTCCAATCAACTTGAAACTTAGTACACATGTTCCCTATGATATGATCTTTTTAATTTAAATGCCAAATTTGAGTTTTGACCCCAATTTCACGTTCCACTGAACATAGAAAATGATAGTGCAAGTGGGCATCCGTGTACTATGGACACATTCTTGTTTTTATTATTAATTGAGTGGTATACTGTAATCAACTTGTCTGTTCATCTGTCTTTCTTAAAATTTGTCTCAGCCTCTGTATTAAAATATGTGCTACCTCCCCAGCCGTTTTTTTGCATGCTATAAATTTTCATTTTGAATAGCACAGAAACAGTCGGACACCAGAAAGGTGATACATTGTACTATTATATATCAGAAATACAAATGTATAAGAATCATGTACACACTTAAAAATGTGTTGTACTTTCCCTTAACCGTCTTCCTGTTTCACAAGAGGTTCCTAGTTTTCAGGTATGAGTGTATTAGTACATAGAAATGTACTATTAACTACTTGTTTGAAATGAAACAGTGAATATCCTCAATTACATAAGAAGAAATATTGTTCTAATATTTTTGTCATATGACATTTAAATGTATTGGTGTAAGTTGTTGAACTTATTGTGAAAATCTCTATCTGACAGAGTGATGTTTTTTTTATCAGAATTTACAGCCTTTGAAAATTTCAGAAAAAAGTTGCTATGGATCTGTAAAAGTTAGCAAAATTTGGTAGGAAAATACTGAGCTTTTAGAAAAGACAGCAAATCAAAAATCACACAAGACTGCAGAAAATGAAGCATATTAACAAATGTACTTTATCAAATGAAAATATTAGATTTTTAGCATGAATCATGATGTAAAATATATATACTGCATGTTGTTTACTGGTTTGTTCCAGACACAGGGTTGGGAAAGTATTACCCATGTCAGAAAACCTAGGTTGTTCCAGAGCTGGGCTATATGATTTTTTATCCCCCCCGCCGAAGCGGAGGGGGCATTAAGTTTTACCCTTGTCCGTCTGTCCATAGGTACGTACGTCTGTACGTCCCAAAATTGGTTTCCATTCTCTAACTTAAGTTTGCCTCAACCAAATGTTATCAAACTTATACACGATGCTTATTACCACAATACACAGATCAAGTTTGAATTTTGGTGGCGTAACTTTTACTGTTCTAGAGTTATGCCCCTTTACAAATGGAAAAATTGCTAAATTTTTCCTTTTTTTTTCTAAAAATATCAATGATGTCATTGATCAAGTAATTTTTAAAATTGGAGTTATCTTCCTTTGTCCATGATTATAGTTGAATCAACTACAATCAATGCTTTATACAATGCAATGTCTAATTTTGCCTTCCACTGATAAAACACAGATCAAGTTGAATTTGGGTAGTGTCACTTTAACCTTTATTGAGTTATGTCCCTTTATAAATCGAAAAATTGCAAAATTTTTAGTTTCTGTTCTGTAACTTAAGTTTGCCCCAACCAAACATGAAACCTATCCACAATACTTATTACCACAAAACTAAGATCAAGAAAAAATTTGGGTATCGTCACTTTTATTGTTCTTGAGTTATGTCCCTTTATAATGTTGTATGCAAGCTGAGGTATCATCTGTGTCCATGGGGACACATTCTCCATTTATTTAGCTTATTTTTACACAGAATAGTAAAGAAATATTGTAGTTTCACAGTAAACAAGCATATAATGTGTTGCATTACTAGTTTGGTCGTTAAATATTTCTTTGTGTTTACATCATAAATAAATTGCCTCATATTGTAATGCGGACAACATTTTCATGAAATTGGATATAACCTAAAGCTATAGATGATAAACCTGTTCTTACATTATAAAACTAACATTACATGAAAAATATCTGACTATGAACTACAATTTTGTGAAATTTACTAATCATTAAACAGTGTGATAGAACGTACAGAATTATGTTTTCTTTTTCAGTTAATGATTATCCATAACTTTGCCTGCTGTTTTATATCCATGTACTGTTTGCTGGGATTCCTGTACAGTATAATGTTGAGTGAATCAACATTCCAACTTGGGCCACAACCATATTTACTACCATATTACAAGATGTACTGGATTACTAAAGTCATTGAATTACTCGATACAGTGTTCATGATACTACGCCACAGAAGACGTCAGATCAGCTTCCTACATGTTTATCACCATAGTTCTATGTTACTGCTTGCAGATTCTTGCTACCAGCTGTATCCATGGCCAGCCATGTCTGTATACTTTGCAACCAATTCATTTATACATGTTATATTGTATCTGTATTATGGTCTAACTGCTTTATTTCCAGACAAATCAATACCATGGAAAAAGAATATTACACAGTTACAGATTTTGCAGTTTTTAACTTTGTTTGTACATGCAACTTTTGGATATTTGTACCATAGTTATTGTGTTTATGGTTTGTTATATGGAATAACTATGACAACATTATTTTCAAATTTTTACTATGCTGCTTATGTAAAATCAAACCAGAAAAAAACACAAAAATGTGAATAATTTCATATATTTATCATTCAGTTTTGTTTAACTGGAACACTTTCATAGGAATTGATTGCTTCTATGTTACTTTTGGAAAATAATAGCAGAAAATATTTCATTTAAATTATAGAAAAAAGTTATCACATTGCACATAGCACATAAAGAAATCCAGTAAAAGGATGACACTTATTTTGTTCATTTTTTCACCATTGTGGTTTACATTGTTCATGCTGATATTGTGAAGGGATCCTATATTTTATTATCTGTTTATAGATTTTTATTTTTTTATGTTATAACTCAGGTTGAAATGAAATTGATCCATCATAAATATTAATATACTGGCATGTTTGTAGTCAGAATGCGAGATATATAGATGCTATTTCATCAGGTAGAAGACCTAGATACTTCATATCTTGTCAACAGATGCCATTTGTTTTGAAGTTTCCTTCTTGCCTATCTCTGTGGTCCTTGGCCTCGTTTTTTTGGTTCAGCCATTGATGAAAAAACAGTATAGTTTTATTACGTTTTTCACCAACAGCCAAAGCAGGTCTAGTAACAGATCCACCCAGTCCTTCATTCCATCAGTCCCCAAGACCTTGGGTAGAAAACTTTTGTCAAAGTATTCTTTGCTTTTTTGAAAGGGAATGATTTTATATTTGGTCTGCAGCTTGATGATGTTAAGTTGTAATTTGTAAGCAAATTTTTACATCTGCCTTGCTGCTGCTTCCTGTTTGTCGATAGTTTGAAATTTTACAACACTCATTGTACAAGGAAAGTTTTCATCAAACTTTTCTTGGCTTCTTTGCAAAAGAATGATTTTATATTTGATCTGTAGCTTCATGATGTTGAGTTGTAACATGTAAGCAATTTTTGCATCTGCAATTACAGCCTTTTCCTGTTTGCTGATATTTGTAATATTAGGGGTTTTTTTCGTTAAAAAAATATATATGATGTATATTACAGATACTCATGTAGCTTTTAATTCATGATAACCGATATTATTATTGAATTGATGGGATTGTAAAAATGATATTTTATTTACAACTTTGATGAAATGTAAAATAACTATAGCTTTCAAGCTTTGAAATTCAAGGGGACAAATATCCTAAGAAGGGATAATTTCATGCGCCTTAATTATTTCTTTGTTTGAAAAGTCATTTCTGTCATACAATCAGTGAATTTATTATGCAATATTTTAAATTCTCTTTACGTTAAAACAATATTTTATTGAAAAACAAAATATTAACTTATTTATACTCATTGAATATACAACATTGATATCTTGTTTCAACTGATTCATTTAAGAATTGAATGCTTCTTTTTAGCTCACCTGGCCCAAAGGGCCAAGTTAGCTTTTCTCATCACTTGGCGTCCGTCGTCCATCGTCGTCGGCCTTGTCGTCGTTAGCTTTTTACAAAAATCTTCTCCTCTGAAACCACTGGGCCAAATTTAACCTAACTTGGCCACAATCATCATTAGGGTATGTAGTTTAAAAAATGTGTCCGATGACCCTGCTTACCAACCAAGATGGCCGCCATGGCTAAAAATAGAACATAGGGGTAAAATGTAGATTTTGGCTTATATCTCTGAAACCAAAGCATTTAGAGTAAATCTGACATAGGGTAAAACTGATTATCAGGTCAAGATCTATCTTGAAATTTTCAGACAAATCTGACAACCCTGAATTGGTATTTTTAAGGAAATTTTGCAGTTTTTGGTTATTATCTTGAATATCATTATAGATAGAGATAAATTGTAAACAGCAATAATGTTCAGCAAAGTGAGATCTACAAATAAGTTGTCATGACCAAAATTGTCAGTCGACCCCTTTAGGAGTTATTGCCCTTTATAGTCAATTTTTAACAATTTTTTGTAAATTTTTGTAATCTTTTACAAAAATCTTCTTCTCTGAAACTACTGAGACAAATTTTACCATACTTGGCCATAATCATTATTAGGGTATCTAGCCTTCCAACCATTATGGCCGACTTGGTTAAAAATAGAACATAGGGGTAAAATGCAGTTTTTGGTTTATATCTCTGAAACTAAAGCATTTAGAGCAAATCTGACAGGTGGCAAAAATGTTCATCAGATTTAGATTTATCTACCTTGAAATTTTCAGACGAATTTGACAACCCGTTGTTGGGTTGCTGCCCCTGAGTTAGTAATTTTACAAAAATTTTGCAGTTTTTTTGTTATTATCTTAGATATCATTATAATATCTAATATCTAATACTATTAATTATGATTTTAACCTTATTTTACATGATTTCCAAAGCATCAGTAAATACAGGTGAGCGACACAGGCTCTTGAGAGCCTCTAGTTATAATTTTATTGGGTTGTAAAAGCTTTCACGAAGCACATTTTGTATGAAGCGCAGAACTTCAGGACATTTTAGCTTAATTTTTATTCCCAAAAATTATCTCCAAAATTTAAAAAAGTTTTTATATGATTTAAAAAACAGGGATCCAGTATATTTAGTGATTTTAATAAGTATTAAATTTCGAAACTTTGTTAGAACAATGGATGTAATTGAGAATAGCTTGGATGAGATGAAAAAAAATTTAACAAATCATCCTGTAAAATTTGAAAAACTTAAGACTTCAATATTGTCAGGTTAATACAGAATATCTTTAGTAAATAGAATTTGCAGAAATTAAATTGAAAAATAATGATTGCATATCAAATTTTGTGTTTTCCATAGAATTCCAACTTAAGTCAGTTTCCTGGAAATTAAAAAGTAACTAGCAATCTATTAAGTAAAACAATTATCAGTTCCTATAATGTGGAACATTTAGATATCAAAGGACTTAACTTCTAACTTTGGTAAATTTTTTGGAAAGGTCTGAGACCAATATTTTTTGGGAAAATCAACATATGAATCTGGAAACAAAAGGACAACTGCTGATAAATAAAGTTGTTGGGTTAAGAGGATTTCACTTCCTGATTTGATAAATATTGTGGAAAACTCTTACACCTTATATTTTTTCTGAACTGAAACTGTCTGCCTAGCACACATGTTTTTCTAGAAATGGCTGTTACAAGGATTACAACTGAATTGATAATGATAATATACTTTAAAAAAGTTTTTATCATTGAACTTTTGGCAGAGATGACTTTTGGTATAAGAAGATTTATTACATATTTTTTTGGTTATGACATTCTATTTTTGCTCAATGGTTTATAATCTTTTATGAATGTAGTGACTATATGATATTCCATGTTGTGTCTTTCTTTATGATTGGTCCCACCTATATAATTATTTATGTCTTTAAGTATTTGGAAATCTTTACAGAATCTTTTCTTTATTAGACTAGGAAATCAGATGTTCGATATTTTGTATTTTATTGTGTTCAATAAAAAAAAATATCAATGCAAATCTATATGTAGAATATGTAGGTTTTTTTATGAAATTAAATATACAGTGTAAGATTACCTGTAAATTATGATACTGTGAAAGTACTTTTATTCGTGGGGTACTTATTTACATGGTTTTCATGGATGGCTTTGTCCACGAATTTAAATGTCCAACGAAATATAACAACCCCCATGTAGGTTTGACTATCTGGATACGGACATACAATCTAGAGAATACATCATATATCAGCCAATGCACTATGAACTAAATCTACAACTTCAGACGGGATTTTACCCATTTAATCATTACAAGATCTAAACTGTACCACTTTTAACATTTAATTCTCATGAAAAATAAGTTGATCGATGAAAGACGGATTTCGGGAATGATATCAGATGATGAAGTGTTCATTTCATTTTTTCATAATTCTCGTACAAAAAAAATTTGATAATTTCATTGTGAGCCTGCTTTTTTATTTCATAAGAATTTCTACAATTCAAAGTACATTTGTAGCATTTTCTTATGTAACCGTTTTGGTTAAGTTACATGTTTATGGCCCAATTAACACCTGTTGATCATTCGATTTCAAGTTAATTAGTGTCATCAACCCAATTACACGTGTGCAACAACTAAAATGTTTACTTTGCATTTTCCTTCAATAGAGACAATTTGTAAGCATAGATGAATCAGCTTATTCCAAATTATTTTATTAAAAATATTATGAATGATATTTGTAATGAAAGACAAACATGTGAGTGAAAATGAACACCTTATTTTGCAATGTCCCACAAATCGTTATAAAACAACATGTGATTAATTTCACGAATTTTCGTTTCTGAAGTCTTTGATTTTTCTTCTTCAGAAAACTAAAATCCACGAATTTAAGAACCCACGCACATGTAACTTTTGCTCAAACCACGAAAATTGATATCCACGAATAAAAGTACTTTCACTGTACATTACTTATTATAAGACTCTGCATTTATATTTCAATATTTTGTAATGAGATGGGAGATAACTCTGTAATGTTATCAGCAATTTCTGAAAAAAAGACTGAATAACTTCAGGTACATATCAGTTCACTAATCATATCAATTACTGTTTTCAAATACAATGAAAACAGATGATTTAAATAAAAATTGTAATTGGCTTAGTACAATTGACCAAATATTCAATGTACCAGGGAAATCAAAAAAGTTATTCAACCATTACATGGTGAGAGTCTCACAATAGTTTAACTAATGGATGTTCAATAATAGTCAGGAAAGATTTATGGAGTTTATCATGATATTATAGATATTACCTTGTGTATATTCAGTTTGATCGAGGGATTTCTACAATGTTTTAAGAGAAACTATAAAAACAAATGAATACAATTTACAAATTTTGAATTTCCATATTTGTTTTAAATTGCAAATCTTTCTAATGAGTAATCACTGCCATGATTTTCTATAATAGATAAACAACTGCATATTTTATTCTCGTCAGGTCTTTATATTACAAATGCCTAATGTAATGATGTGAAAAATTTGATTGTGATTAAAATCATTTATCACTCGCCAAGTTTTTTTTGGTTCCGGAAGTTGGCAGATATAAATTACTGATTGGAGGTATAGTGATATCTCAATCATTTGGCTGTGAACACACAAGAGAATTATTTTTTTCTTCATTTTAGCTTTATATCTGATTTTTGTCTCGCCTTGACAGAGTCAAAAAGCGAGACATAGGTATGCTGTTTCCGGCGGCGGCCAATAATGTATTAGTTTGTAATTAGGTCTAGTTTATGGTGGACCACTAGTGGTAGGTCAATGATATTTGGTACGAAGTTGTATTAGCATTGGCACATCTCATTACCATGGAGATTATTTTGCAACTACCCCTCAGTCATGGTTTATTGACTTTGAAACTTTGCTTAGTTTACATGTATTAGTTTGTGATTAGGTCAGTTTATGGGGAACCACTAGTGGTAGGTCAATGATATTTGGTATGCAGATGTATAAGCATTGGCATATCTCATTTCCATGGAGATTATTTGGCCCTGCCCCTTCAGTTCACTGACTTTGAATATTTGCATAACTTACATGTTTAAGTATTGTTATTTTAATTTCAACATTTGCATTGTCAAAATAACAAATAGGTGAGACATATCTCTGTGTTAACAGTTTATTAAGTTAATCAAATGAATAGAAAGTAAATGAATACAGGACATATTTATACAAATATTATAATATATATCTATTTTATTCTGTATGTATTACAATTTATAAGCATAAGGTGTAGGTTACAATTTATTTATTGGCTTTACAAATTTTTCCTTTAAATGATATAATTTCAATTCTTTTAATTTGCCAATTTTTCATATTACAAACAAACACTTGATGTCCATTGTCCAAATGAATCCATTAGTTTTTACAGTAATATTTGTCTCTTAAACAATCAAATCAATTTGAATCAAGCTTGATCATAATGATTTGCAAGATGCTTAGTGATGAAATTATAGTCATTGTTCCTGATAAACCAACATTGCTGCCATTATTTAAAATAGAACATAGTGGTAAAACAAAGACAAAATATTTAAAAACAACCATAAAAATTTATATAGCTGTCAAACTTAAGCAAAGGATACATCATTGATTATAAGATAAGATATTTTTTATTTTATAAATGAATTATAAATGAATGCCGTCTATGCTAGAAAAAGAAAATCTGTCAAAATAAAGTTAAAACAAATCCTTTATAGGGTCATTTTCTATCAAATATTGGGTTCATCGTACATTATTTATCCTTATGAAAAGAATCATGGTTGAAGAAGACCCTTCAAACATGGCAACAACAGCTGCTAAGAAGATGAGGAACAGGTGTTGTAAAGCCTTTTTTTGGGGTTCATGCATCGCGGGATAACAATCGATATTCCAACTGTTGCCATGCACTTGATTTCAAAAAAAGAAAACTTGACAGAAATTCATTTAGAAATTCTGGAAACAAATACCACAAGGAAATATTAAGAAATATTAATACATAAATGATCCCCTTAAAAAGTTATGGTTGATGTATCAAACCACCATCAAACATGGCTACCACAGATTACTAGAGAGAGGCAGTTTGACCAAAAATTAAATTAAAAAAAAAATTCTTAAACCCTTTCAATGGCCAATTCATACCAAACTTGGGAATAAGTGATACACATTCTATAACCTGTTAAACTATGGAGGACTAAACATAGCCTCCAAGGTTACCAAAAAATATTCAGATTGAGGGTTAAACACAAACAATAACTTTTTAATATGGATACAGGTTCTTTATGAATGTA